GCCTATATTGAGTCTAGTTGGGTATCTCAACGTGCCTTAAGAATACAGCTGCCCAGTTTATAGTAAGTTAGCAAGTTAACAAATTATACAGTAATTTAACTAGGATTTATTGGCCTGCTAAAACACCTTAAATTAGATGTGTAGAGGACTATAAGCCTGGATCCCAGCAGAATAGCTGATATCATTGGCAGCCTACATCTAGTTGATGTAGGCTGCCAATGATATCAGCTGATCTGCTGGGATCTAGGCTGTTTGATTTTATGGTCTACCTGAACTAACAATATCCTTGATTAATATGATTAGCATAAAACAAAATTACACTTAAAGAAATATAGTATTTGACTCAAAGATAACTTCCCATAGGGGGCTAAAGATTTGGAGGAGTAAAGCTCAGAGATTGTAGGGAACAGATTATGACATGTGGACATACAGTATGTGTAACCTATGATTTTGGATATTTTCTGTCCTGCAGGGAGTTCCTAGGTCAGGGCTTTATGAAGCTGGATAAAACGGAAAGGACTCCATACATCATGAAGACCACCCAGCACTTTAATGATGTAAGACGGTGACTTTTTATCCTGAGCAGTGATGTAGTGGTGGGGCTTATAGGGAGTTTTATAAAAAGTCTGTGGTACAACAGTTGTCTCTCTTGTTCAGTCAGGGGCAAAAGCCAGACAGTTTCTTAAAAAGTGGCCAGTGACCACTACTTAGAGTCCAGTACACATGACATCCCTCTGTAAGCTAGAGGGAGACAGAACTGAAAAAGAGGATTTAACAGACTTAATAATACAAAAGCATTCAGTAATCAAAAAGTGGAAATGGAAAAATACAAGTAAGAGCAGTGCCTTTAATTAAAATATATTTCTACATTTTAAATACTGGATTCTCAATGCTGAAGAATCAAAGGACGAGCTGCATTTAATAGCTGTCTTTCCTAAAATTTCAGTCTATAAAGAAGAAAGCTTTCACAATCAAACTAAATATATATGATTATCCACATTAGATTGGTGGTGTATTCTTTTGCCCACTAATATCAGTGACATAATTTGGCATATCACTGAAGGCAGACAGATTATTGGACACATCTCTCATCTCTCTATACCTTGCTTCACAGATGAGCAACCTGGTAGCGTCTCAGATAATGACCCATACTGATGTGGCCTCCAGAGCCAGCTCCATTGAGAAGTGGCTGGCAGTGGCTGACATCTGTCGCTACCTCAATAACTACAACGGAGTACTGGAGATCATTGCTGCACTCGAAGGCAGTGCCATCTACAGGCTTAAAAAGACCTGGGCAAAAGTCTGCAAACAGGTTGATTCTCCTTTCAGAGAGCTGCTGAAAATAATACCACATCTGTGTACTGAAAAAATTACTCTTTTTTTCATTATTTTCAGACAAAGGGACTGAGGGACAGACTTCAGAAGATTGTGTCATCAGAGGGACGGTTCAAGAACCTCAGAGAGACACTGAAAAAGTAAATATAGCCAGTGAGCAGAGGAAAATGTCTCAAATCAGTTCATAAACACTGTACATTTCTGCTTTGTCTGCACAGCTGTAATCCTCCATGTGTCCCTTACCTGGGCATGTACCTCACTGACCTGGCCTGCATTGAGGAGGGGACACCCAACTTTACAGAGGAAGGCCTTGTTAACTTCTCTAAGATGAGGATGGTAAGGATTACACTTTCCTAAAACTGGAATTTGGCACAAAACTCACAATTCACTGTGCCTTAATGGTCTATATAGCAGAAAAAACTTTAAAAACATAAAATTTGAATCGGGATGTCAGTTATTGAGCTGCTTAAATCCGTTTGAGGCACATATGCCATACTCTATTGAATACTGACTAACGGTCATCTAGGACTTGATTATGATGATCTATTTAGACATTGAACATCTATGCACACAGCCCCTGTTTTTGTCCATCTTTGTGATATGATACTACAATACCTAAAGTCACGGTTTCCAGAATTTTGTCTTAAATAATTTAATACTTGCACTGAATATCTACCTTTACTACTGCTGGAGGCCTAAACAATACTATTGAACTGGCTCTCCAAAAGGCCTGTACTCTGTGCATCTTTTTTAATGAGCTTGTTTCAGATATTTCCTTCGAAATACAAGCATGTAGCAGGGAGTAATTTCAGGTTATTGGTTAGAGACTAACAAGTCTCTTACCAGGACAGCGAGTGAACCCCCCACCCCCCTCACACACACACACACACACACACACACACACACACACACACACACACACACACTCTAGAAAAAAACATCATGTCTGAAGCATTCCAGTAACTTTGTCCTTGGTATCTCAGATTTCTCATATCATCCGGGAGATCCGTCAGTTCCAGCAAACACCGTACAGGATAGAGCACCAACCAAAGGTGTGTCTAATTAGATATTTGTAACGTGTAATTATTGTTAATGATTTTTTTAAGCAGATTTATATGAGCTGTTTACATAATTAAAAAAATATACTGAAGCCAGTTTAGCAGGAAAATGTGTTTAATAACAAACAATCAATATCAGAGTAAGTGTATAATTTTTCACTGCTTAACCTTCAAAAAATCCAAAATCTTTAAATTTAACTTATCTCATTCCATTCCAGGTGACTCAGTTCCTGCTGGATAAAAGCCTAGTGATTGATGAAGATACCCTTTATGAACTCTCACTCAAGATTGAACCCCGACTACCACCTGGCTAACTGCATCTTCTAAACAGACATATAGTTGATATATATACAATTTCTAGCTCAGAGCAACACATTCATTCATTCATTACACAGCAGGGGTTGTTACATAGAATGCCATCAATCACTGCGCTTGGGAAACTCAGGAGAAAATGTGCCTTACTGAAGTGTATATTTAGTGAGCAGACTATAAAACAGTGGTACAGTTCTGTTACCTATTCAAAGTTGTCCTTACAACATATCAGTTTTCTGTAACACAAATCAAATGAACACAAACTAGTTGCACTAGTTTACACAGTAAGTTTGGGGTTGTTGGGGTTGTTGGGGACCCTGTAGCAAGTAATCAAGTAATTGCATAATTGAGTAACTGAGAAAGTCTGTGTGTGTGTGTGTGTGTGTGTGTGTGTGTGTGTGTGTGTGTGTGTGTGTGTGTGTGTGTGTGTGTGTGTGTGTAGACATGCTGGGTTTCCTAAACAGCTGGAGTACGTCACATATTTTATCTACTTTAATACTGTCTGTTTCACAGGAGACGTTATCTAACGCTTCGCTTTTTATCTTTTTTTAATCTTACGCTATGATAAAAAGGAAAAATGAAAGCTTTATGTTCTTACAGATTCTCTCGCATGTCAGAGCAAAAATCCTTAAAGTTTAAACACATTGCAGGTTTTGAAATATGCTCATTACAGTTTTTAAGACATTTTTCTTTCTCTTTACAATCAGATCCTGTCTTTTGAGTTTTTTAATGTTTATGATTTTGTACACAAAACTTTTTGAGCTTCACTTTTTGAGAGTTGGACTCAAGGGGTTCTTTCATGCTACAAAAGCATAGTGCCACATATTCTTGATATGTGGCACTATTCTTAATAGTTCCCGTCAATGTGATCAATTTTTCATATTCATATTTCAAACTCTATTGAGTGTATTAGTGAAATAGTAAGATCTTTGCACTATTAATTTATTATTAATTCAAAGATTTTCATTAGACTGTAATTTTGATTATAACATGAATATAGTGTGATTTCCCCTGTACTTAAAATTTTGTGCTTGTTTGATGTCTTTGGGATGTGGTAGGGATGGGTTATTGGGTCTGGGGGCGTATTTTTTGCCATTTCAAAGGTCCGGAATCTGCTTTCTTACACTGCTGCATACTTTGAAGTTACAGTTTTGCTAATGTATTTATAAGCTTAAAAATAAAATAAAAAATAAACTGTTCAAACTGTAATTCTGATGCACATTGTTGTTTTATCAAGCAGAAAGAGGACACATAAAATCATCAAAAAGAAAAAAAATGAACACACATTGTTGCCAAAATAAAACTTGCACACAGACTAATGCAAGTTCACTGAGAAGAGATCACTTGGAAGAATTGAGCATGATTTACTGAGATATTGAAAAATAATGGATTTCATAATTAGACTCATGACCCATCATGGCAGACCAGAATCTCAGCAGTCATAGGATTTAGGACGCCATAGATTAATGATGTCAGCACTGAGAGTGACAGTGTGGGAAAATGTCAGTAAAAAACATGGCACAAAAACAGAAAACCAAATAAAAAGTGGGTTGAAAATTGGGTTGCAGATGTGCAGCAACTGTAAGGAAAGCAGCCAAAATTGTGTGCCCTACATAAGCATAAGCAGGGTATGAGTTGAGCCATCGGCCATAATATTACACTCTCTCTCTCTCTCTCTCTCTCTCTCTAAATTCATTTCCCTCTCGCCCTTGCGGGGGTCTTTACCCCTACTTAAAGCTCGGTTCCTCTACCAGATTCCTGGGACCTTGAGGTTCCTGCATCTTTGCTGTTCCAAAGACTGAAGTCTTCTGGACAGAGAGTCTTCTGGGATCTGCTGGATCTTAATCAAATAAAACAAGCTGCACTGAAGTTTACCCATACCCATGCAGCTTATTAGCTGACAGTGCATTGGGAGGACAGTACTTGTGTACAAAACTCTAAGGTTTATACTGGGAGATCTAGTTTCTCTTGGTATTGGCTACAGTGAGTCTAGTTTAACTACCTATCCACATAGGATTTTCTCACTAAATTTTATCCATGGGATTTTTGTAATGTGCAAATATTGAATCCTCTAACTCAGGGCATGGCTGCTGCTGTACATAGCTCTCATGGTCACAGAAGTGGAACAAGAGATCATTTTCAAATATCAAGGTCAAACTGGACAGTGATATTGGAGCCTTGGTGGTCATGGTTAATCATGGCTCAGCAGAAAGCATACTATACGTCCATTGGCTTATAATTATTTCTTTCTGAACTTTTGATTGGCTCCGACCTTCTAATCCCACATGACGGGGTGGAGCCTTGTGTAAGAGGAGAGTGAAAAGCTGTTTAACAAGAGACCCTGAGCAAGAAGGCAGCAGCTTTTCTACAGGTACTGTATCTCCTTTCTCTTATTTCTCCTACAGAAAGCCTTCATTTGCTTCCAATACTTGGGAAAATTATTGAGCTGGTTGTAGAGCTAGTATTAAAGATCCAGGCTGTATACAAAAAAATTGCATGCTTTTGACATTCAAAATGAATGTGAAGTTTAAAAGCTATGGACAAGGAAAGCAGGTGGAAGGTGAAGCAGGATTTGATGATGATTTCAAGGTGATATGTAAGCAAACAACAGGAAGAAACGTAGAAAATCAAACAGAGAGTAGGTGCTTTTTTTTTTTACATGAAAAGTTTCCAGTTAAAAGGTCACAGCAACCAGGGGAGGGGACAGTGATCTTAGAGCATCTGTAAGATCTCATAATTTTCAGTGTTGGTTAGTAGAGGTGGTTTCTCACAGGCTGATCTCTAGAAAGAACTCTTGCACTCTCTTTCCACCTGTTTTTCATCCTGATACATCAGCTCTCCTGTACACTTCACCTTCCAACTGCCTTGTTTCCATCTGTCTGTCCCACTGCCTTATGAGGTTCTGGTCTTATGACCAGTTCTGAATGTCACCGTCTGAGCCAGGCATGGCTTGGATCTTGACACTGAATCCTGGCAGTGCAACCGCCTTCCACCAATCTATAAATACTACGCCCATTGACCCACAGAGTGAACTGCCTTTAACCTACACAGAGAAAGGAAAAGCCTTAGAGTGGGACAAACGGAGCTCATAAAAATCATGCGACTAACTGAGTGACTTTTAATTTCAGGTCTGACTCTGATTAATAGGACTAACAACGACCTCACAGCTCCCCTCTATATAAAGACACACTCTCATGGACACAATCCACAGAGGATAAGCTAAAATTTGACCTTCCAGGCCAGGTCCATGAAACTAAATGAATTGCTTTTGTGGGACATTTCGACAAAATTAACAAGAATGATTATTAAAGCCATTTCTTTTTGAATAAATGTCGCATTTTTTGTTAGCTTACGGCTGACTTCTCACTGTTCAATAGCAAAGCATTAGTGTCATATGAAACCTGCCATTCTGTGTCATATGAAACCTGCCATTCAGACTGCGATAATAACACTAAGAGTGTTTGCCAGAGCCTCCCATGGTCTAAGCTTGATATAATATTGAATAAAACTTTTCATGGGTGAAAGGTCATTAGATAAGAGCAAGTTAGGCCTAGATTGTTCTGGGTATCCTACCTTAATCTTTAGAACTCTCACTACAATCACATCCCAATCCTCAGCCCTAACCCTGACCTGATCCTTTTTTGGATTTTTTTCGCAGTTTTATTCTACACCCCAAAACTATAACATCATGACAATGTGATTGGTCACTTGCAATGCTGAATTTACAGCAACATTTATTATGATGATCCAGGGACACCACAACATGAGGATACTAGATACACATCAGGTGTCCATTTCCACTTTGCCTGTACGTGTATATGTTAGCACCATTCACAAGTCATCAACAAAACCTTGCTTTTGTGTTTTTATATGTAGTCCTTTTGCTACTGAAAACCCAGCTAGCAGAAAAATGGCAAGCTCTTTCACACGCCTGATCTCCAAGCGCAATACAGCTGTGCTGTTGGCCGGCTTGGGAGCAGGAACAGCTGGATTCTTGTTGAGTGAAAACAGTTCTCTGGCTGCTGAGGCAAAGAAGAAGCTTTACCCTCCCAGGTAAGACAGGTCAACATTAGCACCACTAATGCCACCAAGGGGTGACCAGTTGTAAAAAGAACTTGGTTGGCTAGAAATCTGTTAGAACATTACCATTTGGCTTCCTTGTTCTATGACCTTAATAGTTTTTTATTTTTTGAAGAATTTATGATCTCAGTGCAACTAAAGCTTTACTTTGTAAAATATGACAACAATTTAAAAAAGGAGGATAAAACCAGGGGTGCTCTAAGATTCAGCCTACATTACCTTGTTATTGACAGGTTGTTACAGTATATTTACACATCGCTCAGTCACATCTGCCCCTCACTGGCTATGTACGGCAGGGGTGTCCAACTTCAGGTCTCAAGGGTCCTGCCAGTTTGAGATATCACCCTAGGTCAGCACACCTGAATCAAATGATTAGTTCATTACCAGGCCTCTGGTGAACCTTAAGACAGGCCATTTATATAGCCCTATAAATCAGCTATGTTGGACCAAGGACACATCTAAAACCTCCAGGACACCGGCCCTTGAGGCCTGGAGTTGGACACCCCTGATGTGTGGTTTCAAAATACCAAGTGGCAAATGATACAATTCAACTAGTTAATCTATGGGCATGTCTGAAAGACATGAAGTTCCTGAATGACATTCTAAATTTAGAGAAAACTAAGGTTATTTTACTCTACCCTAAAAATATTAAAACATGGCCTCTCACCAGAATCTTATGCTAGGTGGCATTACCTTAGCCCCCAGTAACAGTGTGAGGAATCTTGGAGTCATTTTTGACCAGGATATGTTCTTCCATTGATAACATTTGCAGGGATATCTTCATCCATTTGCGCAATACCACTAAATTGAAAATTAAGTTTAAAACTTGTCTTTTTGATAAAGCTTATAATTACTGCTGACTTAGTGACCCTGAACCTCAATCCTTAGTTCTGCTGCGTCATCTTTTCACTCTCTGGTGATGCTATACACCACTATTATATTTAACCATTAATAGTTAATAGCTCTCTCTTTCATAGCGCGCCTTTTGTCCTGTCTCTCCCTGCTCACTTCTATTTCCCTTTCCCCCAACTTCCCCTTGAGCCTGCTGGAGGCTTCTTCCTGTTAAAATGAAGTTTTTCCTTTATACTGTCATCTAGTGTTTACTCATGGGGTTGACTTTCTAATATTGTTGTGCCTTTACACTAAAATATTGTAGGGTGTTTACTGTTCAATATAAAGTGCCTTCAAGCATGAGTTGGTACTACACAAATAAAACTGAATTGAATAGAATGATGTCACAGTGGCTTTGTACATCTTTCATATACACTCTATGCTTAAGCAAGAAGAAAGACAGTCAAAAGTGAGGTGAAAGAGTAGGTTACATCATAGGGACTGATGACAATAAGAGATGTGAGGATTGAAGCAAAAAGTTCTTTCTGCAGTAGATGACCTTGACCAGTCAGTGAGTAGGTATTAGACTGCAATTATCTCCCTTAAAAACAGACAGACCAACTACGTGCCTCACATCACTTGCACATTTCATAAGAGTGACTCACTACAAAATGTTTCCATAACAGAAATAAGCAGAAGGTGACATCACTAGACTGTTTATGAACTGATTCATGTGTTCAAAGTAAAAGTACCCTGCATACTGTTTTGTATTTTCTATATAACAAGTTATTGTTTCACAGCAATTTTCCAACTTCTGGGATAAATAAGGGCTTTCTGATCTCATCTTATGCACTGAGCCTGCAGCATTAATAAACATGTGTGGATTGTGTCAACACAGTCCAACTAAACATCTGAGAGTTTCAAAGAGTACACAATGTCATGTCAGATATGCTGGCGATGTCTTGCAAGATCAGTGACGCTCTCACATTTCATCTGGGTTACCTTTGGCTCACTCTCACTTACTTTTTCACACTGTATTTTATGCTCTCCCCTTTTACTGCCTTTACCCACTCATCCTATGCATACATAGAGTACACTTGCTTCTCTGGTGGCTGAAGATAGATTTTTCTGATAGTGTGCTCATATTTAGGCTCCAGGATAAATTTGGAATGATTTGAAGCCTACTTAGTGCCACTGCATGCTGGATCAGAATCTAAAAGCACCTTAAGTTCCTAATAGTTTTACACAATATAAAGATTCAGAATTTAGCCACTGACTCCATATACTCTTTGTCCAATATTAGATTCCTGATATTGATGAACTCTCTGATTCCAGAGTTATAGTACTCTTACCCCCTAAATGGCAGCTAAGTTTAGCAGCTAGTTGAGGACAAATGGGAGCCACCAGTAGCTATTATCAACCTCTGGCTCTCTTTCATTGCATGTCTTTTGTTCTGTCAAATGGCTGCCCCTCCCTGAACCTGGTTCTTCTGGGGGTTTCTTCCTGTTAAAAGGGAGTTTCTCCTTTCTACTGTTGCCAAGTGCTTGCTTAGATAGGGTCATTTTATTGTTAGGGTTTTTCTCCATTATTGTATGGTCTTTACCTTATAATATACAGTGTCTTGGGGTGACTGTTGTTGTGATTTGGCGCTATACAAATAAATAAATAAAAACCCCTAAGTTAGCAAAATAAAAGAACAAAAATTACCTAAAAATCTTTCCCCCAACCCCAAACCAACAATGTACACATCAAATTGTCTATTTGCTTACAAATGAGATATCTCCAGGTTAACCAACTGGTATTCTGTACCACAGCTATATGCTAGATCAGCACTGAATACGTTGAAGGGAAAATTATGTTGTCAACATTAGCTGGAGTAAGAAGGAATATTATTCCTTCTGTGTCGTAACTCTCAAAACTTTTACATTTCTTCAATCCGTCTCCTCTTGAAGCTCTGATTACCCTGACCTGAGGAAGCACAACAACTGCATGGCCTCTGCTCTTACTCCAGCTATTTATGCCAAATTGAGGGACAAAGTCACCCCCAACAACTGGACCCTTGACCAGTGCATCCAAACGGGAGTCGACAACCCTGGACACCCTTTCATCAAGACAGTGGGTTGCGTGGCTGGTGACGAGGAGAGCTATGAGGTAAAACAAAGTGGGTTTTGTTTAAATTATCCACTGAATAACCTGTGCTTATCTTAATAATAATCAGTATATTGATTAATTGTAAATCTGGTAATACGTGAGAACTCAAAAACTGAGGCAGTAAGGTTAAAAAAAAGCATGCCTCATATCACTTGCACATTTCATAAGAATTACTCACTACAAAATGTTTCGACAACAGAAGATAGCAGAAGACTTTTTATGAACTGATTCATATGTTCATAGCTAAAGTATCATGCATACTGTCAGAAATGATGTGTCATTATACAGAGTGTAGTACCTGAATGAAAGTATGGTTGGAACAGTCTTTTTTCCCCATTAAGCCAGTAACTGTTGATTCTTTGTCATAGAGCTGATGATTATCCTTATTATAAAGGTGCAATTCCACACCGTCTATATCATAAGACATCAACTGTCAAAGTAAACTTCTGACTTCCTGAAACAAACCTACACTGCAGACTTTGTTTGCTGGTGCTTCTAGGTGTTTGCTGAGCTCTTTGACCCTGTCATCAAAGACAGACATAATGGCTATGACCCCAGAGTCATGAAACATCCTACTGACCTGGATGCCTCCAAGGTTAGACCATAGCTTCTTGCCACTATAATTTCAGTGCATCCATATTCGATTTCTACACGTATGAAACACTTGTCTTTGCCTTTGTCCTTTCCAGATAACCCATGGCATGTTTGATGAGAATTATGTTCTGTCATCCCGGGTGCGTACTGGCCGTAGTATCCGTGGGCTTAGCCTCCCCCCAGCCTGTTCGAGGGCTGAGCGCCGTGAGGTGGAGCGGGTAGTAGTGACAGCCCTAGCTGGCCTTAAAGGAGACCTGGCTGGACACTACTACAGCCTAGGAGACATGACGGAAAAGGAGCAGCAGCAACTTATTGATGTCAGTTAATCATTTCAGAGAAATGTATACGCTTTCCTTTATATTTAAACTTATGATTTAATGTTATTTGTAATTATTATTTTGTGTGAATGGTAAATTTAAAAATGGTAAATATAGAGATTTATGGGGTGGATGTTTCTTTGGCACCCAGCACTTTGTTGGGTATCCGTTTAGCTTACTGGTTAAACAGGCACCATATGCCTTACAGCTGAAATGCAGTGGCTTGATTTCAGTCTAACCTGCAGCCCCTTGCTGTATGTCTTCTCCTTCTCCTTCTCGCCCTCTTTCCTGTCTACTCTTCACTGCTGAACTGCCAGATAAGGACAAAAATAAATCTTAACAAAATATGTTGCTTAAATAGAGTTTAAAACTTTCCAAACTGAAATAAGGCTTTCAACAGAAGGTGAAGAAACAGCAGCTGTGGCTTTATGTTCAGGTCATCTGCAGGGATATCAACTGACAGTGAAATGGGATAAGCTGTACTCTTGCATAATACCACTTTGAACCACAAGATGGTGCAGCAACCCCGTGTAGCTTCTGTAAAGGCTGTTCATCTATATTTATATATATATATTTATTTATTTTTTGAGAATATATTTTTTAAATCCATTTTTTAAAGACTAATCTCATTGCAGCCTCAACAATACCTATTAAAAAAGACCAATGCCCTTTTATATATGACTCTTTGAAATCTTTTCATCACCAAATTGTAAAGAAGTCTTTCTTCCCTTTAAAATCTAAAAATCTACATCTCTTTCCTTCTTGATCCTCCCTTAACCATTCCCACCTGTAGGATCACTTCTTATTTGACAAGCCTGTCTCTCCACTGTTGACATGTGCCTTTATGGCCAGAGACTGGCCAGATGCCAGGGGGATCTGGTATGGTCTATTCAGTTCTTGTGCATGTCCGCTGCTGTGTGACCATGTATGAGTTATTATTGTGCCTGTTCCTGGAAACTGAGCCACTAAAACAGCAGGAAGTTTGATGCTGTGTTTTCCATTTGGTGTGCATAGCTTTTTATAAACGCATGTTTTTGCACAGACGACAAGTGTGAATATCAAAGTGCCTTGTGTCATGAGTCATCAGCAGTAATGAAAGACGAGTAGTTTTCTTGTTTTCTTTTCCTCAGGCACAACAATGATAAGACCTTCCTGATCTGGGTCAATGAGGAGGACCACACCAGAGTTATCTCCATGGAGAAGGGCGGCAACATGAAGAGAGTGTTTGAGAGATTTTGCAACGGACTCAAACAGGTACAGTGGAGTGTGATGTCAAACAGAGTAAAAGGATATCATTTTGATAATTAGACAGTCTTTTTTGTGGCTGCTAATGTTGCTGAGTTGTATCAGGCTGAAATATCTCAATTATTACTCAGTTTATAAACATTCGTGTTTATACACGAATTGTGTCAAATTTCATATTTGACACATCTTCATTTCAGTCATCAAAAAGGATTATTCTTTGTGACACATTAAATCCACTGTGAGGTGCAAACTCAGCTGTTGTAACTCTGTTTGGCCACTGGTTTAAAAAATAAATGCATCACACTCCCAAACTGTATATAAAAGATGGGCAAAGCCACCATTCCATTCCTGACAGGTTTTAATAACGTTTCAGCATTTTAGTCATTGTCATGTTGTTTTTGGGGACCAAAAGAAACCATATTTGGACAAGAGGGTAGAACTTATTAGCTAGTACTACCTAGCTCGATTAGCAGGTTGGATCCATTAACTATTCAAAGACATATACCTGTTAAGTAGCAGACTTATAAAATACTAGAATTTCACTCACCAAAATTATGTGCATTGGCTTGATTATGAGCCAGGCTCCAGTGGCCACTAGAGGAACTGCATTTCATTAATTTAGCTATGTTACTTCACATGTCAGCACTATCCAATTTTGGTCATTTGGGGCATCTGAAAACAAGTGTCATAATTCTGAGTCTTTGATCCAGCACTTTGAGTGTTTTAAAATTCTGTTTATTAATAAATAATTTCTGTTTGATGACTAGTTTACTTACAGTCTACGTTTGAAAAAGGGAACAAATGTTATATATTATCTATCCTGACTCATAATAAAAGAAAACTGCATTTATTTCATTATGTACTTATTTTGTTAACATGAAAACTCCTCAAATTTCAAACTTCTCAGCTCTCAACTAAAGCGCTGCAAAAAGTGATTATCTTGCTCAACTATTATGTATAGATAAAATGTGATTGGGCAACCATGAACATACTGTTTACAGGTGGAGCACCTGATCCAGGAGAGAGGGTGGGAATTCATGTGGAATGAACGTCTGGGATACGTCCTCACATGTCCGTCCAACCTGGGCACCGGCCTCAGGGCGGGTGTCCATGTACGCCTGCCAAAACTAAGCAAGGTAATATAATGACACTATAACACTATAATTTTAAGTTCTGTTCACTTTTATTTAAATATTTTCAATTTACGACAACAGTTGTCTCATGGGACTTCTGTCAGCTAATTTTTAAAGGTTTCTATAATCCAAATTCTTCCTCATGATCTCATCTAGAATTTTTTTTAAATCCCCCAAAAAACCCAACTTCTATTCATGTTATTATTTCTGTTCTTGAAAAAGAAATCTTTTAACTACAGTTTCAACATGTTATAAATGATTCCAACTTACAGGACACACGTTTCAGCAAAATCCTTGACAACCTGCGGCTGCAGAAACGCGGCACAGGGGGAGTCGACACGGCTGCTACTGGTGATACCTTTGACATTTCCAACCTTGACCGTCTGGGCAAATCTGAAGTGAGGAGATTCTTTTGTTGCACAATTTCTTTTTTCATGCTAATAAGCTCACATGCATCAGTTCTATATAACGCCCTGTCTGAGCTATTCTGTTGCTGTGTGCTTCTAGGTGGAGTTGGTCCAGTTGTTGGTTGACGGCGTCAACTACCTGATTGAGTGTGAGAAACGGCTGGAAAAAGGCCAGGATATCAAAATCCCATCTCCCATTGTTCAGTTTAGGAAATGAAAACTGAACTCCTCAGTTTCCTCGGTGACCTGATCAGTCCTCCCTCTCAAACTGAGCCTGCTAGAGCACCTGAGAGGGACTCCCATCAGCGAGGAGAAAGCATTCTCTTTAAGTTTCCAAGACAGAGTGCATTTCTTTAAGATAAATCATCTTAGACGTGTTCTTTAGAGGAAAACTCTACCTCAAGAAAATTGTAACCCCAAGTTCAATGAATAAACACTATACAACATTTTATTGCTTTCATTTTGTTTTTTGCTATTGTTGTTTTTCACTTTGGCTGAGCAATAAAGTGTAGAAAGTGGTTCAGAATTCTTTCACTGAAGCACGGTCTGTTGTTTGTATGAAGATAATGTCAGTTTTGTAGTTATTAGATGTCAGTTTATTTTCCTATCATCATCAGCCACTTTATTAGGTAAACCATGCTGGTGCTGGGTTGGAAACCCTTTTGTCTTCAGAACTGTCTTAATTATTAGTGGCTGAGATTCAAAAAGGTGCTAGAAACATTCCTGAGATTTTGGTTCATACTGTCATGATAGCGTCAACCAGTTGCTGCAGATTTTCCAGTTGCACGTGATGGTTATAAAGGAATGGACATGGTCAGCAATAATACTCAGGTAGGCTAATAGTGCTCTGTTGGTACTTACGGGTCCAAAATGTACCAAGAAAATACCCTGCGCACCATTTCACCACCACGATCATCCTGAAACATTGACACAGTATGGATCCATGCTTTTATGTTCATGCCGATTCTGACCCTATCATCTGAACATCACAGTAGAAATAAAGATTTTTCCTGTCCTCTGCTGGCCAATTTTGGTGAGCTTGTGCACATTGTAGCCTCAGTGTCCTCTTCTTAGCTGACAGGAGCGCCATCTGGTATGGTCTTCTAATTCTGTAGCCTATCAGCTTCAACGCTTAACATTCAAAGTTGGTGTCGCTGTAACAAGTAGTTATTTGAGCTACTGCCACCTTTCTAGTGGCTCAAAGTAGTCTGGTCCCTTTCCTCTGACCTCTAAAAATCTATAAGTTAACTGAATACGCTCTCCTTTCCTAACCATTATCTAAACCGTAGAGATGGTTGCGCAGGAAAATCCCAGTAGATGTGCAGTTTTTGAAATCCTTAGATGAGCCCATCTATAGCATCAACAACCATGACATTATCAAAGTAATGTCAATCGCCTTTCTTTACCTCTCCAAAGCTGGACCCAGCTGTAAATCTGGTTAGGATTATGCCTAAAAATCCCACTACAGGAATAGGAAAGATCCTGCATATGCCTCTGTATTTCCTACTGGCTTCTCACATTTGTAAGCATCAGTAATTTTGTATCTTGTTTTTACATCAGTAATAATGGATCTGTTCACTGACAACATGCACTTTACAAAGGGGCCAACAGAGGTGGAAGAAGTTTAATAATATTTCTAAAGATACAAAAATGATTCAATGACTTGAATGTTGTTGCATTTTCAGAAGTTTCTTTGCTCCTGTGTGAATTTTGCATGAGCAACAAATTTAAATTCTGCCACTGCCACGGGTGATTTTACAGATCACGGTGTATCCTAGGGGGAAAACGACTGAAAGGAGTAGACGACAAATATAACCCACAGCATAAATGCCGTCAAGATTTGAAACAATGCTTAAAAATCTGTAAACAGGTGTGCATAAGCTAATGATTAATCTAAGAACACATTCAGCATTAAAGTAAGCAGAACAGCACTTTTCAGAGATTTCACTTTCGACGATGCCACCTCAGAAAATTTTATTTTTTCTAAAAAGGAAAGAAAAAAAAAATCAGTAGAAAGAAGTCAAAAACAACCAAAAGGTGACACTTTGAGGCCAGAGCCTGCCTGTGCACCAAAAAGTCCTGCTTTTCTTTTTGGCAAAGTGAAAGAGCAACACAAGCCTCTATTAAAGAGTGGTTGGACAGTGCTAAACAATGCAGGTTTGGAGAACAGGCCATCTCTGTGAAATAAGGGGATAAGAACAGAGAGTCAGGCTGGGTTCTTTGAACAGGAAACAAAAAGGAAGTCTAAGAGGCGGATCGTCAGTCCACAGGTCGCTTTTCACTGTGTTTCTTTGTGAACTCCTCTGCGTTCTTCATGAATTTCGCACGGTCTTTAGTGTACTCCTCTGCCAGGTCAGCCCTCAGTGGATGCTCTGGCTGAGGCATGTTCACCATCGCAACCAGACACTGAATCACTGGCAGACAGAGGGAATGAGAAAAGAACATTTGTGAGCATATTTGGTACTTTTTGGAACAGATATAAGAAAACAATAATAAGATGTGGATGTCCATTTTCACCTTGGCAGGTTTTCGTGGCTGGCTTCCAGTTCTCCACACTGATGATGGGCAGGCAGACCTGGCCCTTTTCATCAATGTTGGGGTGGTAGATTTTTGTCTTGAAGGTTATCTTAGGTGGCTTGAAAGGATACTCTGCAGGGAAGATGATCTCAATCCGAAATGCTCCTTTGTCATATGGAGGACAGTCCTTGAAGAAAATAAGTATGTGTTAATTTCAGGAAAATCGGAATAATATTTAGTCAACAATAATTACATAATTTAATTAATAATGCTCTTTGACTTTAAGATGACTTGGTGGGGGTCATTTTTATGTGCGCTTTGATACTTTTAATAGTGAAAATTAAAAATGTTGCTAAAATGATTTCAGTGTTCTTCTCTAATAATGTTCTTCTTTTTTATACTTCTGAACATATCAAGGATGCCCCTCTCTACAGCATTAAACAGAACCAAAACTTGTGTCTGACACTTACCAAAACAGAAACCTTAAAAAAATAAAATAAGTGAACAAAAAACAAGTAAGCTGATAATGTACTGTTCACAACAGATATATAGATAGATTAGATAGATTAGATAGATTAGATAGATTAGATAGATATATATAAAACAATATTTTTCATACAAGTCAACCCAAATTTCTACCAAAATGTTCTTCTCGAACTTCACAATGTGTGATCTGAAATTTGAGCCATTAGAGAAACAAAAGTGGGAAAAAATGTATAGTTACATAGGGTCAATACTTACAGGAACAATAAGCCCTTGCCAGTTCAAAATATTAGATTCATCCACTTGAATGATTCGGAAATTCTTTATTCCAGAATCGCGAATGTCTTGAATCTCCTGAAACGAAACATAATTGATTGAAATTTGGTGCAAAATTATGCAGTGACAGAACAGGAAGAACAAACAGACAAATGCGTGAATGTATAACGTAGAGTAATCAGCCACAACATCTCCAAACTGGTAGCCAGAACCTACTAAAAGTGATCCAAGGAAGGAGAAATGGTGACTCGGCAGGTTCAGAAAGGGCAGTACTGGACCATGCCGTTTTAGCCCACAGAAAAACAGTCTTCAGCTGGCTAGGATAAAAATGTGTCAGCACACAAATTGCTGTGCATGACGCTGCACAAATGCAGACTGTCAGAACCTACAATGACCACATGAACAACACAGTGCTGACTTGGTCCCCAAATTTCCAAGATCTCAACCGAGACAAGCATTGTTGGGATGGGCACACACGCACACACTGACTTAAGGTGTGTTCTTTTGGTGACATTAGGGTGAGCGCCACATTATGAGGTTGTGGTTTTAAACTTGTGGCTGATTGATGTCGATAAAACGTGAGGAAAAGTCAAGAAACCAGCTAAGAAATACAATCTGCTGGGTGTAGGTGATTCAGAGGAACTGTGTAATATGGCCCTGATGGACCGAGTCCCGTCAGACAGTAAACAGTTACATCACTTCCTCCACAATGACTCATACCCGCTCATTCCTCGGTTCAGATTACTATTCACACAATGCATTTTTCCTTCCAGGCTGTTCACATAAATACTGCAAAAACAATTATGGTGTTTTAAATTTTATTAACATCGGACAATGATGGCCTGTGTGAGACCTTCACCTCCACTAATACAGTTCTGCATACTTACAGGGCAGCAGTCATAGATTCATACTAATTAACAATAAATAAATAAATTAATGAATAAATAAATAAATTTAATTAAATAATGGGTTGCCAAAGTGTGACCTTTGCAATGACATGTGTGTATGGCAAACAGACAGAGGTGGAGAACTCAGTTTTTTGCTATGAAGGCCTGTGATGTATGAAACACTCAAGGATTCATATAGACTAAGCTTTTTAACATAACCCTCAACAAATTAAAGAAAAAAAATTAAAAAACAAAAACCTGAAACAGCTTCAAACTTAAATGGGTATTGCATCTTTAAAATGTGCGTGTGCAGCAACATTGGCTGAGGACTAATGGTTCCATGATGGTTACTTTTAGTTATTTAAAAAAACAACAACAAAAAAACAAAAAGTGTTTAATTTGTGACTTGTTAACCTTGTTTGCGGTTGACTGATTTCAGGTATAAAGCAAAGCAGTTGCAGAGAATATCAAGGAGCAGCCTTGTGATAACAGTCACCTTCAACCACCACAACCAGCTGTTAGCTGAACACTAGCACTAGCATTAGTTTAAAAAAAAAAAAATAGCGTTACAAAACAAATCCATCTGGTTACTCAGATCAAATATTTTTCATTCATATGGTCAAAAAGTCTGCCAGTATAAATTTCAGAAGAACATATAGGTGAGATAGACAAACAGGAGGAAGAAACTAGTAAATGTTATCAAACCACTGAGGTCCTACAGTTGCAAGTGATTGGCAGAAAGAAAGTGACAGTCATAATATTTTATACCGATCAATTCAAGCTGTACATGCCCTACAGTCCCAGTCATTTCAGATAATTCTCTTGCAACAGTTTTAACTGAAAGCAAATAGTAGTTATTTTCTAATTCCCAGTGGAATTTGGAATTTACGTGAACTGTAAAACTGAACTGTCAGGAGATTTCAAGAAGTCGTGACAGCACACTTCACCATTTTCTTTTTGGTATGAGGAAATTACTAACATACAGCAAATCAAAACTAAAACGAGTCAGAACAAAAGAAAGTATGAACGCCTGGCCAGCCACTACACTGTTTACAACATTAGCATACAATTCATTTTTTTCTCTCTTTAAAAATAAAAATCAATGTCTACAATAGCCACATTTTTCTACTTACTCTTTTAACTTACAGGAACAATTCTTTCCAATTGTTACACTTAATTCTTCATAATTTATTGACTACTCTATTTTGTTGCTGAAAAAAGCTGAATAAAGGCATTACTCCTTCTGTTTGTTTTATATTGCGTTTGTTTACATGCAAGTACATGACCAAGTCAAAATAACTTTGTATACTGTTTTGCAAATAACTAACTCTTAATCCCCTAAACAAGAGAATAATGTCATTCATATATATATATTTTTTTATTATTATTAAACGTTTATTAAACGTATACGGCTCAGATGAGGTCTGACGTCACGTCCCAACCCCAAAGTCTCCATGTTTTCGCCTCCGCGGCTGCCTTCAGACGGCGAAAGCGGTTAAAACGAGCTGCTACAGTTTCCACCATGCTTGCCTATTAAACACCAGCTTGCTTTCCGACTTAAAGCCGTAGATGACAGTTTTATCTTAAAGCTTAATCACGCTCTGCTGGCATTTCAAATTAACAACTAAACCCCGAGTCACCGTCTATCGGCCGTCATTATCCTTTCGTTTTGTCAGACACTTGAGCGACAAACACCCGGACATTTTCTCTTTGCTCACGAATCTGTAGCTACACTCATAAAGTCGAAACCATTGTTTAAACCATGTCAAAGTTGCAGAAATCCAACAACTAAGATCTTTTTCTTACCCTAGTTAGTCTCCGAGCCGAAGTCATTGTGGTACCGATTCTGTCTTCTCCTTCTTCTTCCTTTTTCTTTCCGCTCTACCTCGACTTCTTTTCAGTTTGTTTTAAAACGGATGACGGGCGGGATTCTCTTGCGTTACCGCCCTCTTTGGGCCCGGAGGGTTACAGATTTTAACCAAATTTTTACCGCTTTGCTTTGGATATGTGTTCCTGTTTCCTTTTAGGTATCACCATTTCTTTAAGACATCCTTTTAGAATAAAACTATTATATTTATCCATCTATTGTGGTAAGCTAGTCCAGTATTTAGTTCTGTTTATCTAATACATTCATTTAACCATGGCTCATTTAAAGGAGATGTGGAAAATCGATGCAAAACCGTTATAAAAAAAACAAGCACACATGAATTATTTTGAAATTAGAAGACAATTAAAGAAAAAAAAAGATAATTTCCCCACATTTCAAAGTGATGAAATGGTGAATGTCCTTTTATCAAAAAGTCTTTATGGATTTTTTTGAAAAGTGATTCTATTAAATTAAATTTTTTGTCACCTGTTTTGTCACCTTGCCTCTCTGCACTGAATCATTACTTGTTATTAATCTCCGCCTCTCTTCCACAACACGTCTTTTGTCCTGTTTTCCTCCCCTCACCATGAAGCAGTTGTGGCAGATGGCCACCCCTCCCTGAGCCTGGTTCTGCTGGAGGTTTCTTCCTGTTAAAAGGGAGTTTTTTCTTCCCACTGTCACCACAGTTCTTGCTCATAGGGAGTCTTATGATTGTTGGGTAGGCAATATAAATTGCCTTGAGGCAACTGTTGCTGTAATTTGGTGCTGTATAAATAAAACTGAATTTAATTGAATTGACGATACAATGACATAATAATGAAAATGCAAGAAAAAGAATCACAGAGTCTAAGAACATCCTACTCTCACTAGCTATCAGAAATGTTCTAATTTACTCATAATTCTCTAAATTACAACCTTTTAAGTGTGACTCACAGTGAGGAGCAGTTTTCTTTTCAGTCGCATCTTATATCAGGTGACCTCAATTGTTCACATGTTAGGGTGGGTTAAGGGATCACGCTGATTTCACCTGAAACCACAAGTGGTTTTTTCACACCTTATGTGATGAGTCACATGACTAATAGTGGGCCACTTACCCCCTCCTAAGGGACACTACCAACTAAGATTTAAATATCTGTGACTCTCCACTTTTTAGCCTTGGATGAGAGGTGAAATGTCTTCAACAAAATTAAAGAAGTCCAGCTGTTTCTTTTTAAGGTCCTAAGATTCCTCTGGGCAGAAATACCTTGTTGATGCTACAGGTCAAAAGAGACAGGCCAGGCTGCTTTGAGTTCACAGGACGGACACAAAAATACAAATAACAACTTGTTATAACATATATGTTATAACAAGTTGTTATTTGTATTTTAGGTATGCAGCAGATGACTCTTATTGTTTCACAGTAAGATCCACCATTGCTTGTCGTTGATAACTGTGAACAAACTCATCTGGAGCTATCACACATGACATGAAAGATGGCTATCGTGTTGCCATCTACTCATTTCTGAAGTCCCATTTTGAAACTTTGAGATGAGCCTTTCCAGCATCACAATCTCAGTATTAAAAAAAGAAGAGGTGATGGGAAATGGAATGGTTCTTATATAGCAAAATAATAAAATAATAAATTGCTATTACACAAAAGCACAAGGCAGCCCTTGTTCAACTTCCAATTTTTTATTCTTTATTTTTTTAGAATAGAAAATTATATTGAAAAAATTAACAGAGAAATTTACAGTGATTACCTTTAAGAAACTCTAATGTTTCAGAACTTGCCTGAGAAAGATTTTGTCAAGTTTTTTTTATTTTTTTATTTCTCTTTTGTATGTAGCTCCCAGGAAGAACAAGTTTACTCACCACCACTTCTGCGCTGGTGAGTAAACTTGTATGCCAGCCACACAGCCTAACCATATCCTGTGACCTCCCGACAGTCTGCATGTTCAAGATGGCCGCTTAAGTGGAGAATTTACACCTCTCCAGTAAAACTAATCCAGCAGCTAGTTGGCCGAACGACTTTTACCGTGGAATTACCCTAAGATACCAGCAACGTTTTCTTATGCGTTACATCTGAAGAGATAATAATTGTTGAGGTTCGACACATGGAGTAAAACATACTGGTAAGAAATTCGTTAACCCCCCCCTCTCCATAGTTTGGTAGCCACATTAGCCAGCTAGCCTGTTCAGTAACAACTAACAGGCTAATTTTTAGCAACACCTGGCGTAATCGTGCTAATTTCAGTAGACGTACAACAGGCAATCCAAAGGTGGTTCACCTTTAAACAGTTAGCCAGAGTTAGCTGTAAAAATAGGACTCTAGCTAACTGCTAAGTGGGGTTGTTAATGTGAAATGTAAGTGCTAATGTTACCTGCTAACGTTTCATATATGATGGGTTTGCTAGTTTTGTTTACCTTACTCGCTCTTATACTGCCTTTTTGGTTTGTGAAACTGTTTTAAATGAGAGCAAGAAAAATGTATGTAGTATGTGTTGTTTACGCCACAACCGATATTTGTAACTTCAGCTCTAAACAGCCATAGTGAATGTGTTTGTACTTCTCGTTTCATATTATTTGTCATTGCATTTTGCCAGTCTCATAAGCAATGAGCAGCAGAACGACATGAATTTTAAATGACAGAATACTTATCAAACCTCAGTTCAGAGGGTTGTTGAGACTTAATCCTTCCCTTAAATATTAAACCTTGTGGGAAAGAAAAGATAGTTACTGAATGACAGCAGCAAAAAGAGGCTCTCTAAGTAAGACCGGAAAAAGAAGTTCTTCCCACTTTGTGGGAAGCTTAGTGAAGTGAAATAATTTTTTTCTTTTTTTCTAGCGTTCCAAACGTCAGCTTGTTACTGTAATTACTAGAAAAACATTTACTGAGAAAAAGCTGGTGGAATTCCTTAATTAAACCACGTGTTCAGAAAGCTCCAACGTGAAGAAAAGTGAAATTAGTATCTGCTCCTATCCACCACTGTTTAGTGAAACATCTTCAGCAAAACTACAGAAGATAAAATAAGATATGGAGACATTAGCTTAGTCTGACAATGTTTAAAGCAAGCCATCCCTAGGGCTGGTTGGTTTGGACACTGAATTATTATAAACATTAATTATTTTTGTACTATCATCATGTCTGTTTTCTGCGACAGGAAAGGTTGCATAAAAGCACAGGGCTAAGCATAGTTCTGAGAATGTTGATATGTTTGATTTTCTTCATTGCAGCCACCACATACTCATTTAAAAAGCTTACAGAAACACTCACTGATTTACTAGCATAGTTAAACGTACAGAGGCACATACACAAGAACACACACCTAATCTACCTCACAGAAGATACAGTACTTACAGACCTATTTTCAAACATATAATATAGGGTATATAAATACAGTGAACACGTTTAACTCTTTGGCAGATGTTGTATGAAGTTAAACTATTAAAAGCATTGCTATTTCTTAAAGGGAAACCAATGAGTAGTTCATTTTGAAAGACCAGTATTTTTTCTCTTTTAAGTATTTGTTATTATTTCTTGTCCAATTACTTGGTTAATCAATGGCATAGTCAATTAGTGAAACAATCAATAGCTGCATCCCTATTTATTTCCTTTTCTTTGTTCATGGACCTTTACTTTGAGAACTATGTAGTGATAAGCTTTATGAGTTAAGTTGAGACATTGAAGTTGTGGGAACTGCATTCTAGTACCAGTCTGTACCTTAGCACTACTGTGAATCATTCATACACGTATCCTTCTTGTGGTGTTCCTGTTAAGTTACCCGAGGATTGTATATCACCTAGTTCTCCTTTCATTTATCGCTTCCGTCTGGTAAAACTACAGCTGAACTACTACTACTTCTACTACTACTCTTCAGCTATAGACTATTGCGCTACACAAACGAGACATAGTTGTCATTAAGTAGTGTAAAAACCCACAAATTACAATGAGTAATAGTTGAGTGACATCAGAACTCACATGGTTCATATCATGTGATGGCTGTGAAACTGGTTTGTGTGAGGGTGACAATTCATAGTTGATACGGGTTTGTATACACTCTCAGCTTTTTGAATTCATGTTGGACTAAATTCTAAGTAAGATGGAGGCTTGCTCTGAAAACAATGACTTGTGTACTAAGGCTTGGCGATTGGATGAATATATCAGCTATCGATGATAGGCTTTTTGCTGATTGTTTTTACAAGAGCGATTTATTTATTTGACCATGAATAAGTTTGCTAATAATGTTGGTTGAAGCTAAGAGTCAACAGAAAAAATAATAACACTGTTTTAACAGCACCCTCTTCCAGCTTCCAGCAAATGCACCCTCCTCAGAGTGCGCACAAATGCAGCGATTCATTTACTCCAACTTATAACAGAAAGAAAGAAAGGCAGTAGCCTATGTTCAGAAAAGGAACCCCCACATTTTATTTAAATTAAAAACTCCACAATGCTGGGGAGGGAAACAAAGAGAAATTGGCTTCTTTTTTCCACCAATGGTTACAGGCTGTTCCAGTGTTTATCTGTCTTACACACTTCACCAAACAAAAAATACAAAATTAAACAAAAAGTTAAAAATCTCCGATAAAATGGTAAGTCTTTTGCCAATTTGGCGCATCTCAAGAAAATAAATAAATACATTAATTAATTCATAATCTAAAAAGTAGCTATATTAATACTGAAACAAACAAGAAAAGAAAGTAAAATATTCCCTCCAAAAAAACCTTTCTAAATGGGCAAATAAGTTCATGGATGATTGCTCTGCCCATCAAAAAGTCTGTGCCTGCGTGAATATATTGCCTAACGTCGGTTGGAAAATTTTTACATATCTCCCAACCTTATTTTGTTCATAATACAAGATAATTTGGTACAAGATTCAATGATGTACTAATTGATATTAAGATTAATGTCTTTGTCACCAGTGCTGTCTTTACTTCCTCCAGCTGACACTCAGCTCTACACAGTAATGCCCCATAGGGCTGGGCCATATTATACCGTTCACGGTAATACCGGTATAATGTTAGGCAACAATAGGAAAATGAAATATCGCGATAGAATATGAGTAAAACGCGCATGCGCAGTGCCTTTGTTTTCATACGCACATGGCCGATTGTTGAGTGAAACAGATGAACCAGAATTGGTTTGTAAAAATGGTGCAACTTCAGTGATGTGGAACTGGTTTGGTGTTTGTCCGTCAGATACACGACAAAGCACATTTTTTTGCAGAACATGCAAGCGGCCATCGTTATTGTCGTATTTGTCGGACTAAGATGCTCTTAAATCTGGGAGTAATCTGGGTCCTAAACTCCTTATTCTTCAGTTCAAACGAACACTGCAGCATCACTGAGCGTTAAAAACTGTCTAAATTCTTTCATCTTTAATAAAACGATCAGCATTGCTGCTTTACCAGGTGTAACTATGAAGTTTAACTTCCAGGCATCCATTAAAACAAAATTTATTACATTTAACAGAGTTAGAAGTTAGCGGGAAGCTAGCGGAAGTTAGCTCGCTAGTTACCTAAGCATGATATTGCATGTTCTGACTGAGAGATTTCTGAAAAAAATCAAACGTACAGCTCTGCTATCACTTCCAACATAAATGAAGACAGGAAACTAAACAGCAGTGACGTTTGTAGGGTTACTGAAGTTGGGCTAGGTGGTATATAATGATGTGCTACGTAATCGCTAGCGACACAGCTATGTTAGCATAACATAAACAGGGAAGCTGGAGGATGAACACTAACACTTTTCCACTTATAAAAGTTAACGTTAAGGTTCCTCATGGTTAGAGACAAATGCAATCGCATGGCAGGGTGCTGTAAACAGACCAAACTTCAGTCAGGAGAACAACTGAGATAATCCATCCACAATACGAGGTTAGTCATTAATATACTGCAACAACATGGGAATAGAGCAGCTGCCAGAGAATTCAACATTAATGAATCAATGGTACAGAAGTGGAGGAAGCAAGAAGAATGAGTTTAATAAAGTTTGATTTATCTGACTGCTTTGTTTCGCTTGATGTGCGTTATAATCCCGTGCACCTTATGGTCCGAAAAATACGTATTGCACACTGCAGTTTAATTTTGCAAAGCACCACTTTTTAACTTCAGTGGATATTATATATGGTTATGCTCAGGATATGTCAGCCCATTTCTACTGGAAATGCCTTTTGGTTAAACTTTCAGCAAGGAATTTGTATTTGCACTGTTACATTTTTATAAAGCTTTAATGTACATAAAAACCAGCTTCTTATTTAAGTGAAAATAAATGGAAGGTTTTCTTTTTGCGCTAGTAATGTTGTGGAGTTGTATTTTGTCTCGCATCAATTATATCGTCAGTTATATCGTTATCGCAAATTTTCAAATATATATCGTGATAAATATTTTTGGCCATATCGCCCTGCTCTAATGCCCCATCTCCTCAGTAGTTTGCATTAGGGCTGGGCCATATCATACCGTTCACGGTAATAGCGGTATAATGTTGAGCAATGATAAGAAAATGAAATATCACTAGGGCTGCTCAATTAATCGAATTTTAATCACGATTACGATCTGGGCTTTCAACGATCATTAAAAATGACTGAGCCGATTATTAGCCCCTCCCTCATTTATCCGCGACACCTTAAAGGCTGGTCCGTGAAAATATTGTCGGGCATAAACCGGTCCATGACGCAAAGAAGGTTGGAGACCGCTGATTAAGAGGACCCGAGGGAAGCTCGGAAAGCTAAGCAGAAGTTATTTGGAGAGGAGAGTGACTGCCGTTGGTTGAAAAGAGAGGTAAAAAAAACTTCAGTGGTGTTGCACACTATTTTATATTTTTTTTTTTAAAGTCATTGTTAACCCTTTAAAGCCGGTCAGAGCAGCATGCTCCGTTTTGCGTAACTATTTTTAAATCCCTGTAGAACCTGAACCGTGTAAGCTAGCGCAATAATTTGTTTTGCATATGAAACCAGAGGAGTTGTACTTACATCTTATGCCATCAGCTTGTCCTCGGTCACGGTTTCCTTCCACATAAAGCTTTGCAAAAATTGCATAAAAAGCGCTTGCAGGAACAAAAACATAATATTCCAGAAACACGCTTTGCCGATCCGATCAGCTGTTCGTAACACTTCCCACAGTGAAACAGACGTCAGCGCGAACTATCGCATGTCCACCATTTCCTGGCCGAAACCGGAAGTGATGTCATTTTCGCTGAAAATGTAGTTTCTTTACTTGTAGGCCTTAAAAGCCTATACTGGTCATGTTTGACTTTTCTGAATAGTTTCTGGGATGCTTAGAACTCAAATTGCACTGCTGGAAATAGTTTATTTTGATGCACCTGCTGTTTTCTTTGCAAATTTGCATCATAGGATTGTTTTTTCGTTTTTCCTGTTGCTGTATCTCCAAAATAAAACTATGAAGACACTCAAACTAAATTTCCTGTTGTTGTAAACTATTTTTTGCAACTTTTTTGTATTTAAAGTTTTGAGGGATAAACCTCTTAAATTTCTCCAAGTAGAAATATATGTAAAAAAAACAAAAACGATTTTCAATTTTTTTGTAGTTTATTGCACTTGTTTGCAATTAATGCAGTTACTATGGACTTAATGCATACATATTATTAAAATATGGGCTATAACAGTTGATGTATAGCAACTTGAAATGCTCTCACAAATGGCACTACAACATGTAAAAAAAAATAATATAAGCTCTGGCGGACTTGGTTCTATGGTAGGTCTTAAAGGGTTAAATAAATAAATATCGTCAAATAATAGTGATCTCAATTTCAGTGAAAATAATCGTGATTATCATTTTTGCCATAATCGAGCAGCCCTACACAAAACTCTACGTCCAGATGAACAGAATCAACTTTTGGAGATTAATTGTTATGGTTTTCCATTGACTGTTTTGTGTTAATCTCTGGGTTGTAAAGCATTGTTCTTTTTCTGTTAGCCACTTTGATTCTTTTTCCTTATTTATACTTGCTTTTCTTTTTTTTATTTGTTACCAGAGGGGATCTCCTAAAGAGGAATATCTAAATTTTCACTGCAACATAATTATGGAATTTTAGTGTTATATGAAACTGTGCTTATTTAACACTAATGGAACACAGTTATTGCTGTGTCTTAAGCTGATAAAGATTATAATGTCAGAGATTTCTGCTTCTTCACCTCCAAACAACAGCATTATCAGCTCATTTTAGCCACTTCACACTATCGTCATGTCACTTTGTGCAGAGTACTGACAATCTGCCACTAAATGGGATGATCCCTGCTAAAGATGTTCATTTGCAGCTCAGCGTCATGTGCATTTGCACTTTTGTTGTCTTTACCGAGGTCCTTGACTGGTGTAGTAAATGTTTACTAAGCTGTGGTTGGCATGTTAAGTGGATTTTTACTCCACCACCCAAACACCAAAGAACCTGAAAAACAATCCAACATTTGAAGTAATCCTTTCTTCACCCAACAGACCTGTTTTTGTTTTTCTTTTCAGAAACTGTAGGGCATAAAAAGCCTCTTTCCTTTAGTGCAGCATGGACAGCTTCTTCAAGGCAGCTGTATGTGATCTGGACAAGCTGCTAGATGACTTTGAACTCAATAGTGGTAAGACCAGTCACACATCACATGGACAGTAACATCTGATAAGGGATAGACATGATTCATTGTTAATGGATTTATTCATTTTATAGTTTTTCTCAGTAAAGATATAACAACTGATAACACAAGTAACAAAGAATGTGTATGGAATTATTATATTATACTATTATAAGTCACGTGCGAGAAAAAACATAATCTGAGCAAATAATTTCATTTCACAGGTGCAATTAAATTCCCTGTGTTTAAATTCAATAACTCGCATGCGTAGAACTTAGCAGCCATGCACAGAAAGAAGCCATCGTGAACACAAGAGTGTCTGCTTTGAGGCTGCTGCAGTTTCACACTCTCGTGGGTAGTCCTCGGCAGGATTGGACTGACTTTTGACTGTTTGGAGGCGGAGCCCAAAGGAAGTGCGTGTCCTATTGGTAATTTTGATGCTCAGTTCCGGTTTCGGCATTAAACTGAGTTACACTGTAGCAGCAACAGAAGCATTGTTTAAAACTGTACTTCTTTGCAATATGGAAAATAAACTTTGCCAAATTAATTATCAACAGTTGTTGATTGCTGGGTAGCAATAAAAATACTGACAACTAGGGCTGGGCGATATGACCCAAAATTCATATCTCGATATTTTTTAGCTGGATGGCGATATAAGATATATATCTCGATATATTTTTTTTAAAGCCATAAAGTAAGAACAAAAAGAGAGTTCTTAGTCAAAGCTGTGTCCCAGATGAAAATAAATTATGAGCATTTATTAAATAATTAAATAATAATGCTCCATAAATAAAAGAAAACAATGTTGTTTTTGTGCATAACAAAAAGCTCACAATTGTGCAGTCAAAATGTAAACTAAAAGACGCCGAGCACAATAACAAAGACAGATTTCACAGCTGCTCTGTTCCCAACTTGACTGACAGCCTGGAGTTTGTAATCCGCTTCGCAACCACGTCTCTTAACAGGTGCCATTTATGGTCCTTATACACAGTAGGGTAATACTACGTTGAAGCACAGTACGTATCACTCCGCGAGGCTCAGCCGTAATGCTCCGACAATCCATCAAGCGGTGCTGCTCCGTAGCTTACCAAAGTCGTACTAAAACATTTTTTGACAGATTGCTGAGATTGTTCCACATGAAATCTGTTCGCGGCCATCAAGCACAACCAGAATTCATACATAAGGCGCGCTGTCAACTTTTGAGAAAATGCAAGGATTTTAGTCCGTGCAGCACCTCTGGGCTGCATGGCGTTAGCGTGGTTAGCTCGTTAGCCTGGTTAGCTAGCTAACACGTTGATGCCGTCCAGCCCCACGCACGGGGCGATGCGCAGTAACTCGTTAACGGAGATTTGCCGTGTCCATCTTGTCGCTTCCTGCAGGTGAAGCGATGGGGGAGGAGGGGGAGTTGTGTTCAGTGAAGGAGAGGCGAGGCCGAGTAACGTTGCGTAAAGACGAAAGTGGACGAAAGAGAGGCAAATTTGCGGTTCCACAAGTATAATTATAACGTAACATAGACTATATCGATATAAAGGATATTGTCACATCTTGTATAAAAATATATCGATATTTTTTAAAAACTCGATATATCGCCCAGCTCTACTGACAACTGTCACTGAATTACTTTGATGCTAAAGAAAATCCTTTAAACCAGAGGATTAAGGAACTTTTGAAGCTATGGCAGTGCTGTTGTCCCAATGTGTTGTACAGTACTCCATAGCTTTTATGATTTAAAAAAACAACAGCAAAAAAACCCTAACTCGTAACGAGAACCAGGAAAGGGAGTGAGAAATTAGAACTTTCGCTAAAATACGTACATTTAAAAAAGTTGCTCAATCTGCAGCCAACACATGTAACTGTACATACCATAAGTTGGAGTGTTTCATAATGTGCCCTAGATTTCTGCGGTTTTAGCATTTTTTTTTTCTCCCCAGTGTTAAAGTGAAGCCAGTGATTTAAAAAGTCAACAAATCCTCAATACAGATGTGTATCAAAGATCAAGTCTTTCATACTGATTTTTGATTTATTTAACAACTGATAACACAAGGAACTGATGTTTTTGTTTATCATACAGCAGATTAATGGGACAGCAGTGCAGAGACTTGCATTAGAATCTTCTGCTTTTAAACATTTCTTCAGCATTAAAGTAATTCAGTGACAGTTGTCAGTATTTTCACTGCTAAGAGCAACCAACTAACTTTTGTTTTTGTGAGCACTGCTCAGAAGTGGCAAAACAGTAAATCAGACAATCTTTACATCTTGGGAAACAAGATATTTAAAAGAGATGATGTTAAAAAAACACCACATTTTGTGTAACTTCTTGGTCTGTGTTACAAAACTAGCAACCTTTGTCACACCAAGTTAACATGCATACGTTATACACACACACATCTATATTTACTCACAGACACGCGCATAGATGTACATGCATACGTACACATTTATCAGTGTACCTACAGACAAATATTTTCTCTTATCAGCAACATGTTGATATTTTCATTCTATACAATAGTGCCCAGTGACTTCTTTTTTTGGCCAGGCAGTGCATATAGCAGAATATATATAGCAGAATCTCTGTCAGGTCTGGAAGCCAGGAAGGAAGACTCTCACTCAGGCAAAGCCGTGTCCCATCTGGAGACACCGGATTTTATACTCAAACCTGTGATTCAATGATACTTTGTCAAACATCCAAGGTTTAGCCAAAAATGGTGTTTCTTCTAGAACTAACAACAACTGCAGTGTGTTTGTACTCTTAGCACATTTAAATAAGTTTTACACATTTGTCTTTATGAAGACAAATGGCTGTCTTCATTTGTCATGTTACTGGCATGCAGTACCGTATTTTCACGACCATAAGACGCACTGTACTAAAAGGCGCAGTCTCAGTTATGTGTGCCATTACTGTATTTAACACACACATAAGGCGCACTGGATTATAGGGCGCATACAAGTACCGTATGCGTATTTAAAAATAAAGCGGGAGCAAACCTGAGTTCGGTACCTTACTCACATTTCTATTACCGGTAATCGTCATCATCAACAACACACAAGCATACAAGTGTGCGTATTTAAAAATAAAGCAGGAGCAAAACGAAGTTTGGTACTCACATTTTTATCATCAATCAAACCCATCGAAGTCCTCATCCTCTGTGTCTGAATTGAACAGCTGCGCTCAATCTCCATCAAACATGCCAAGTTCACTTTCTTCACTGTCAGAGTCACTTTCCGTGCCGTGCGGCTCCTGGGAAATGATGCCGGCTTTTGCGAAAGCTCGAACAACAGTGCCAGCAGACATGTTAGCCCAAGCATCTACAATCCATTGGCAAATTGTGGCGTAACTCGCCCGGCGCTGCCTTCCACTCTTGGTGAAACTGTGGTCTCCATCGGTCATCCATCGCTCCCAGGCCGCTCGCAGCCTTACTTTGAACGGGCAGTTCACACCGATGTCCAGCGGTTGGAGTTCCTTTGTCAGGCCTCCCGGAATGACAGCAAGCTCACAGTTCATTTGTTTCACTAGTTTTTTCACATTGGCTGTGAGATGGGCACGCATAGAGTCACAGATTAAGAGCGATGGTGATGCGTGGAAAAAACCACCTGGTCTCCTTACATACACCTCCCTCAGCCACTCTTTCATCATTTCCTCATCCATCCAGCCCTTTTCATTTGCCTTAATGATGATTCCTGCTGGAAACTTCTCTTTAGGCAAAGTCTTTCGCTTAAAAATCACCATAGGCGGCAGTTTCTGTCCATTAGCATGGCAGCCAAGCACAACAGCAAAAGAAGACTTTTCATACCCCGTTGTGCGTATCGCTACCGTGCTGGTCCCCTTCTTCTCCACAGTGTGACTCACCGGGATGTCAAAAGTGAGCGGGACCTCGTCCATGTTTGTGATGTGGCTGGGCTGGATGTTTTTGTCGCTGATGTGTTTGCTGCAGTAGGAGCGGAAGATGGCCAGCTTTTCCTTATAATCCGCTGGAAGTTGCTGCGCTACCGTAGTCCTGGTCCGGATGGAAAAATGGCACCGTTTCATAAAACGAAAGCACCAAGACGGACCTCCTTGGAAATGTTCAATGTTCATCTCTTCAGCTAGTGAAACTGCTTTTAGCCGAATGGTGACCGTCGAAACGCTTCTCCCGCTCGTTCTTTGCTCGATGATCCACCGCTCGAGTCTTTCCTCCAACTCGGGCCACCTCGCCTTATGTCCGCGGAAACTCAGCTGCGTTTTCTTGACCTGCCGGAGCTTGTTTTCTAGCTTCCTCCATTTGCGAACCATCGATTTGTTAATCTTAAATTCTCTCGCCGCTGCTCGATTTCCATGTTCCTCCGCATAGCTGATGGCCTTCAGTTTAAACTGTGCTTCATAAGCGTGTCTCTTTGCCATTTTCAGGGTTGTTAAAACAACGATGTTCCACATAATGCACATACCTGTCCTTTTAGACAGGTATGTGCGATTGTCCGGTATATACGATCAACGCCCACACTTCACCCTTTAGCGTTCTCATGGTGTTCTCTACTACGTCATCCTTACAACACACAGGGCGCACTGCGCTATAGGGCGCGCCGTACTTTTTGAAGAAAATCTAAGACTTTTAAGTGCGCCTTATGGTCGTGAAAATACGGTAGTCTGTTTACTGGAGGGTCACAGGATGCCTAAGTAACCAAATTACTTTATTAGAACTTAGCATTTTTTGCAGTTAGTAAATATAACCATGTATTTGTATTTTAGCACTCATGGTTCGGATAGCAGCACAACTTTGACCCCAGAACCATATTACCAGATTGGGGGGGGGGAAAGCACCAAAAAAAATCTAGCAAAACAGAATTGACGGTGCCAGTGTATCAAAAGTACAGCTCAAGTGTAATTGAATTAACTGTTTTCCTTTTTTTGGATTGCAGAGGAACACGAAGGCAGGCCTGTTTCCCTGAAGCCCTCTGTGTACCCCTTCTCCTCACTTGGCCCTCAGTGTTCACCTATAGAGCTGTCCCCAAATCCACCAAGCCTCCCGGACCTTAATTCTCTTCATTATGGATTGACACCCGGCTGTCCTGATGGTTCTGCCAGTCATAACCATAACCGCAGCACTGATAGAGAGGTCAAAGGTCAGCCTCTCACTGGTGTGGACCTTCTGTTGTCTGTGGATCGCAGGTCAGCCAAAAGCTCTACCCCTCCCTGTCCAGACAGAGCTTTGAAACCTGTCTGCGACCTTGTGAATGACACAAGCTCAGCCATTCTGGTCAGGTCCAGTAGCCACGATGCCTTCAGTAAGCTGGACATTGTGGAAAAGCAAATGGAGGAAGAGGAAGCACTGCTTGTGGATTTTAACAGCCCCGAAGTAGGACAAGAGCAAGAGGGTGCATGCCATAGTCGAGACACTCAAAAAGAGCAAACCCTTGTAGGGAAGGGAGAGGTACTGTTGAGTCTAGATTTACATCAGCAGAGTGGTGGATACTCTGCCTCACTCAGTCTGCTTGATGTCATTCTCCCCGCAGCAGTGGAAAGGAGCTGTGATCCCGCAGATCATTCACTATCTTCAATAGATACTGACTTAGCTAATAAAGAGGAGGGGGACAGTGATGGGGGGGATATCTCTGACCAAGTAGTTGAGAACTCTGTGGAACAGAGTGATCTGGATCCTGTTGATGGTGTTAGGAAAACTAGAACAATCAAAGTTAGTAAAGAGAATGAGTCTCATGAAGCCTTGGATGAATGTGAAGCAGAGGGTCTTCCAGGTCAGGAATCCAAAGCCTCACACAGCAAGCCGGTAGCCCTGTCATGTTTACCCATAGCTGTGTCCATGTGCGGCGCTCTTGTGAACCCAAAGACCACAGAAGATGATTCAGGGGAAGCTGAGCTATGCATTGATGCAGATGTGTCTGAGAGCACAGAGGCAGAATCCCTGTCAGGCCTGGAAGCCAAGGAGGAAGAGTCCCACCCGGAGGCACCCGCTTCCCACCCGGAGGCACCCGCTTCCCACCCGGAGGCACCCGCTTCCCACCCGGAGGCACCCGCTTCCCACCCGGAGGCACCCGCTTTACCTGCTTTTGTGGTCCAGGAGGTTGCAGAGGGCAGACAGTCTCCAGAGGGGCAACAACAGATTTTTCTTGAAGCTTCTACAGATCTTACCTCCACCAATTGTTCAGAAACCAGCCTAGTAGATCCTCCAGAGTTTGGTTTCCAGTACCTGCCTGAGAGCGACCAGGCTGAGCTGCTGGTTACAGATGAGGAGTTGGATGCTTTCCTGCAAGCACATGCTGAAGCAGAACAGGGTGTTTCTTATCCTGAATCTCTCCCAGAATCAAACAGGGCTCCAGAGGAAGGGCTTGTAAAACAGGACTTAGGTCTACCTTTTCCAGAAAGTGATCAAGCAATATGTGTATCTGCAGAGGGGAGCATTAACCCTGGTGCTCTATCAGTATCAGAGGACTCTTGCAGACCTTGGCAAGACTATTCTTCTGGGGTAAGCTCTCTGACCAGCAACACTTTCCAGTCCCAGCACAGCAGTAGCCCTGATCTACAACCCTCCTATGGAGGTGCAAGACCTAAACAGCTGCACTGCCAAACTGCAAGATCTCCAGCAACAGGAGAAGAGGAAGAGGGGGAGCTGGCTCAGATGTTAAGTGCTTCTACAACAGTGCCAAGTACTGCACAGGATGGAAAACGTTCACCAATAAACCCCAGTATTACAGATGAGCATTCCATCAACTTTAGGGATTCTAACCCTTCATATGCAACTCAGGAGGATCAGGATTACAGTGTGGTGTATGATGAACTGTCAGAACCCCCACCTTACCCTGGGGAGTTTACCATAGACAGTGCCAAGGCAGTGAGCTGCAAAAGGGAGGGAGTGGAGGAGCTAGGGAACAGACAGCCTGCTTGGGTGCCAGACTCTGAAGCTCCCAACTGTATGAAGTGCAATCAGAAGTTCACTTTTACCAAAAGGCGGCATCACTGTCGTGCCTGTGGGAAGGTATGTTAGTCACTGAATAGAATGTATTTTACACTTGAATATTAGATTGTGTCAGCATTATTGTCAGCTGTAAATACAGTGTGGCTGCAATTAATGGTTGTTATGACATGTTGTCAAATGGCTTTTTTCTCTGGCTTGCCGTTAAAAAAAATCCAGTGGCTTTCAGTGAGAAAGAGTCAGATTCATTAATTTAGAGCCACATAAATTTTGTGGGGTGTGTTTTTTTTTTTTGTTTTTTTTTGTTTTTTTTTTTGTGGGTTTTTTTTGGCCAACACAAGTCATTCCTTTTTTCCCCGTTAAGGCCCTTGGCCTAATCTGATTTCAGGGTCAACTTTATCCTGTATTATGATACCAGAGTTTTGTTTTAATTATACCAATAACCACAGTCAGCCTTGAGGAGTCCATATTGGTTGATCCCTAATGTATAACCAACTGTTACTTTCCACAATAACAGTGGCTCCATAGTGTTAACGAATAGTTATGTCTATAACTTCAATTCCCTTTCAGTTGATTCACTCGGTACAACACATACAGTTGTGGTCAAAAGTTTACATACACTTGTAAAGAATATAATATAATGGCTCTACCGAGCATCCCGTTATTTCTAAAACTCTGATTTTTCTCTGATAGAGTGATTGGAACAAATACTTCTTTGTCACAAAAAACATTCATGAAGTTTGGTTCTTTAATGACTTTATTATGGGTTAACAGAAAAAGGTGATCACATTTTCTGGGTCAAAAATAATCATACGGCAACATGAATTAGCAATTTTGGTGACTTAGAAAGTTGTCAGTGAACTGAGCTTCATAGCATGGCCTCTTAACTGCTTGTGAGTGATTATGAGTGATGACAGCTGGTGACTTCTCTTAGGCCAGTTAAATAGGGCTCATTGGATACAAACGCTACAATAGGAAAGTCAAAGGAGCTCAGCATGGATCTGAAAAAGCGAATTATTGACTTGAACAAGTCAGGAAAGTCACTTGGGGCCATTTCAAAGCAGCTGCATGTCCCAAGAGCAACAGTGCAAACAATTGTTTGTAAGTATAAAGTACATGGCACTGTTTCGTCACTGCCAAGATCAGGAAGAAAACGCAAGCTATCACCTGCTGCTGAGAGAAAATTGGTCAGGAGGGTGAAGAGTCAACCAAGAATCACCAAAAAGCAGATCTGCCAAGAATTTGAAGCTGCTGGAACACAGGTGTCATTGTCCACAGTCAAACGTGCTTTGCATCTCCATGGACTGAGAGGCTGCCGTGCAAGAAGGAAGCCCTTGCTCCAAAAGCGGCACCTTAAGGCTCGACTGAAGTTTGCTGCTGATCACATGGACAAAGATAAGACTTTCTGGAGGAAAGTTCTGTGGTCAGATGAAACAAAAATCGAGCTTTTTGGCCACAATGCCCAGCAATATGTTTGGAGGAGAAAAGGTGAGGCCTTTAACCCCAAGAACACCATGCCTACAATCAAGCATGGTGGTGGGAGTATTATGCTGTGGGGCTGTTTTGCTGCCAATGGAACTGGTGCTTTACAGAGAGTAAATGGGATAATGAAGAAGGAGGATTATCTTCACATTCTTCAACATAACCTAAAATCATCAGCACACAGGTTGGGTCTTGGGCGCAGTTGGGTGTTCCAACAGGACAATGACCCCAAACACACATCAAAAGTGGTAAAGGAATGGCTAAGTCAGGCTAGAATAAAGGTTTTAGAATGGTCTTCCCAAAGTCCTGACTTAAACCCCATTGAAAACATGTGGACAATGCTGAAGAAACAAGTCCATGTCAGAAAGCCATCAAATTTAACTGAACTGCATCAATTCTGTCAAGAGGAGTGGTCAAAGATTCAACCAGAAGCTTGCCAGAAGCTTGTGGATGGCTACCAAAAGCGCCTAATTGAAGTGAAAATGGCTAAGGGACATGTAACCAAATATTAGCACTGCTGTATGTATATTTCTGACCCAGCAGATGTGATCACTTTTTTCTGTTAACCCATAATAAAGTCATTAAAGAACCAAACTTCATGAATGTTTTTTGTGACAAAGAAGTATTTGTTCCAATCACCCTCAGAGAAAAATCAGTTTTAGAAATAACGGGACGCTCGGTAGAGCCATTATATTATATTCTTTACAAGTGTATGTAAACTTTTGACCACAACTGTAAGTATGGGACATATATATACGCCCCGCAGAGCAGCCACCGAACCGGAATCGGACCACCACCACCTTAGTGAGCGATAGATCCAGCAGAAAGGACAGTATGAGCCACCGAAGGGGCTATAACGTCCAACCGATAAAACCGTACAAAAGTTTTTAAAAACTTTTAAAAGTTTGGCATGAGCCCGCTGGCGGGCTCATGCCAAGCTGAAGCCCGCCAGCGCTCCTGCATGGTTTTGGCTCGTCATCGGCTAACCTGTCAACATGTTCCATGTGGTCAGCCCAGCTAATTGCCCGGACATCGACCGGATAATTCTCGTCTTCGGACTCGGACGAAGCCAGGGCTCCAGACTCGGAAAGGAGAGGTTCATGCCGTGCAACAGCAGAGCGTCCCAGCACTATTTCCACAAACGCCACCGCGTGTTTCCAGGATCGAGCGCCGGAGCTAGCGACAAAACGCACAGGCTTCAGGCTCCGTCAGTGCTCTCCTAGCGTGGATGATCCCCAGGCAGACAGGGCAGGCATTGTGCTGGTCGCTGTTGTGCAAAGAGAAACCGCATCCCTGAAGACGGGGGCGAACAGAAGATTTCTGCTTTGCTCGCATCAGTTTGGAGTCCATTCCAAAACGCAAACCCAAACGCTGCACTCCGCGGGCAGCCTACGGACCAACTGCGTGGTGGAGGTTGACACCAACAGGGGCAGTTAAGCTAAGTTCAAGTCCGCAGACAGTGGAGCTAACTAGTAGCAGCTAGCTAGCCCAACTCAGCAGAGGTGTTCTCAGCGAGGTGAAGAGCATAAGAACTGAAGCATGACTGTGATGACAGCGGCTATATGTGCAGGCGGGTCCGTGCGCGTGTCATCACATGTCATCCGCCTTAAAGGCGTGAATAAAGGTTTCTTCAGCCAAGACACGCAAGGGCGTGATATCCCATACTTAGGTGTTGTACCGAGTGAATCAATTGAAAGGGAACACCAGTGCCTAGCATGCGAAGGTATCACTTTCAAAACTGGGAGGTGATGCAAATTCCTGGATGGGTTGCGTCAGGAAGGGCATTTGGCCTAAAATTTATACAAGTTCAGACATGCAGATCTATTCACTGTGGCAACCCCTTGCAAATAGCAGCTGAAAGAAGTCAACTTCTGCAGTAATAGCAAAGCAAAGTGTAATTAGTCAGCCACTAGCCGCACAGCATTTACCTGACTTCGGTAGCTTTGTTAAATGCAAGTGTTCAGGTAGACAAAGAGTGCTACATAATAAAGCAATACAGCTGTTGTTTCACATAATTATTATTCCTTTATTTATCCAGGTAAATATCTCATTGAGATTAAAAATGTCATTTGTAAGAGAAACTTAAACAGTTTAATGCCGTTAAGCTGGGCATACACTGTGCGTTTTTTTTTCAGTCACGTTATTCAGCTCCTGCTCAAACTGTACAATTAAATCGCAGGGGTTAGAGGTTCGTCGGTCATGATGCAGGGTCTCACACTATATGGCCCGATGCACTGATGTGACCTGAGTGCTCACACTGTGCGTCCATAACATGAAGCTTATAACACTAAATCTGTCTCTTGCTCTCCCTCTCTGTCTTTACTCACACAGACACACACACCACCACCATCAACTTTGCTAAATTGCTTATGAAAAACATTGACCAGGCAGCTGCAGTTGAGCAGCAATGTCCATACAACTCTTTTCATAGTTGGTGCAGTCATGATAAAGTTCTACAAGTTATGCCTCTATCGCTTGTGTCCAGATCACACGCTGCACTTCTGTTTGCGCATGCGCAGTGTGAGAGGCTGCGTTGACAACCTCACAAGGGCCAACAGGATTTCAAATAGGTTTGATTTCCTTGCGAGCATACGATTGATGATCGGGAGCTATTCGTGAGGTGTTAATCGCTTCTCGTTACCCCATGTATACTCCACGATGCACGACACACAATTAAGGTGAAACTTGGGCCGATCCCCAAAACGGTCGCACAACTGAAAAATATGCTCAAAATGGGCCAAAGATCACACAGAGTATGCCCAGCTTTACAATTAAACAGTTAATTGACTCAGAAATGCAGAGTTCACTGTTGAATAATCAGATTTTTCCTGATTACTTTATACAAAAAAAATCTGAAAACTGTGAAAAGCATCCATCATAAAAATCTAGATCCCAAAAGTGATTCTGATAAATAAATCACCATAGAAGTGATTACCTAATGAGCTTCTTATAAATGCCTGTTTTGCATTGCCTGTTTTTTCTTCTTGTGTAATTCAAGGTATTTCTGGAAGTTTTTAGCATGTAAGGGTAAAATTTCTGATGAAGTGAGGACCAAATATAGCACAGTGAATTGATGTAAGCAGAGAGCATGAGTCAGCAGTTCTCTTTTCAGCTTTTCTATAGGTCTGTGCTGAGTCAAGTCCCTCGAAGGCCTCTTATTAAATCAGACATGATTAGGTTCTACTATTGTTTATAGCACAATCTTATGCTGTTTGAAGGACCAGATAGACAAACACGTTTCAACATCCTGTTAATTGTTGTCTTCTTCCAGACGTGAATTTACTGTCCATGCAGATTGCTGTGTAGCGTATCTATGCCGTCAATGTCATCCTCTCTCCTCTGTGGCAGGTTTACTGTGCTGTGTGCTGCAACAGGAAGTGTAAACTGAAGTACCTGGAGAAAGAGGCTCGTGTATGTGTCCTCTGCTTTGACACCATTCACAGAGGTAAGGTTCTTGTTTGGTTTATTTGTATGCCTTTATTAAGATCCCCATGTGTTGTACCATTATAAAATACATGATAATATAGCGAGTCAAACAGGTGGTGGGCGGCGTGTAAGGGGTCACCTGTGATGGCCCTGGTGAGAAATTGAGACAGAAAGAGTTGGCAATAGCCTCCAGGGGTGGCAGAGGGCAGTAAATGATTTAACTGCTCATCCAAACATGAGTGAGTAATGAAATTAAACTGTATTATGAAAATAAAGTAAATAAAATACAATAAATAAAGACAATAAAAATATTATTTGTCCTTTTGTGAGGACCAGTTTCAGCTCATGAGAAAGTTAGAGCATTTGAGCTGGCCTTTATATTTTCCTCACATTTCTTTAAATGCCTGTTTTGGAGTCAAAGCTTTTAGAGTTAAAGTTGAAATCAAGTTTGGACGTACTTAAATCTAACATTGTTTGCATTGTAACAATGGGTTGTGTTTCTTACATTAGTAGAAGGGAAAATGAGTTCTGATGGTTTTGTAGATTTGGTGTGTGTGTTTTTGTGCATGTATGTCTGTGTGTTCAACTATGCTAATGAATGAGTGAGTTTGTCTGTAAACGTTTAAAGGAAGATGTGGTGGCTGCATTGAAGAAAAACAAAGTTTTCCTCTGACAAGAAAGCCTAATTTCTGCTGTTCAGTACTGGAGGAATTTAAACTTTTACAAATTATTGCTTAGCTGTGTCTTTAATAAAACCTCTGTAACTTTGCTCTGCTTTACTTAAGCAGCATCATGTAATGTTCTTATGTTGATTCATGATTATCGATCTACTGCAGTATATTTTTAAGGTGGTTATCTGCTATAAAAATATAGGCCAGGAAAATCTCCTTCATGCTTTGTTTTGTCCTCAGTTACACAAAGGCATCTGTCGTGATCCTTACACCTCTGATGAAGTCTCACAAGTGTCAGCTTTGTTTTTATACATAGATATAAAAATATGGATATATACTGATAAATGATCAGAATTATATTTCTGACTGAGTCAAAATTGAATCGAATCGACCTTGCAAGGGACCTTGTGAATTGGAATTGAATCGATTATAGAAATCAAAATCAATACCCAGCCCCATTTCTATCCTAATGAAAACACATACAAGCTTTCCTTTAGTATTTAGGTAGGAACACAAAGCTGACAGCACAAAGCAAAGATAAGAATCCTAAATTTTGGGCGATGTAAATCAATTTACACATTAACATATTTCTGAAGTTTCTTCGTTACAGTGATTCTACTGTATAAACATGAACAGGTAGAAACAAAGGCTGCAGCCTGACTGCTCATCCATTTGCTACCTGAAGTTTAGGGTCTGGCTGCTAGGCTGGCGTGTGCATTCAACATCATTCTGGGTTCTTGGCTAGCTTAGTGTTATCATGCTGTATAGGCAGGTGCTTGCAATGAGCTGAATAATATGATGAAAGCCTTGAAATAAATATGGTCTAGTACACCTTATGCCCCTCTTTAGATTTACTCCTGCTTGCTCCAAGTATCAGTGCAATAGAGAGTGGTATAGCTGCCACAGTCAGCCTTCAACAGGCTACCTAATTTAAACATCAGACTAAGTTAACAGTTCATTTTTCGCTGTGTAAAACAAACAACGGTGGATTGGAACAGTTACAAAGTTAGCTTTTCCTCATGCCGGAGCTTGGTGATCAGGTAGTTTCGTTTACTTTTTCCAGTAAAAGTTTAATGCTGATTACAGGATTAAGTGATGCTGTTTTGGAGACTGGGAAAAACATTTTCTTTAACTCTCCCTGAGGTCACCATCTTGGTAACAATAAAAGACGTGGAAATAGGCACCTTTTTTTTTAGCTGGACTGCAGCAGTGATATGGAGAGAGATGGGAGTTGATTGCAGAGGAAAGTGATAACAGGACACTATTACTTGTCCTTGAGCTTGTGAGTCTATGTAGTACAGGACCACCGAGTGCAGTGGACATGTGATGCTCACATGCTGTCTAAATTAAGGAGGAGATGGTCCACTTTAGTGGCTTTTGGATGCTCGGGCAGTGTGTTGCAATCCTTCTCTTCTCTCCCTCACACAGCTCCTCCTCTCCTCCCCTCTCTTGCTTTCCTCTCCCTCACTGACATCAGTATACGAGGCTTACTGCATACACCTCAGCCTACAGCTAATAGCCTGTTATTATTTACGAGAGGAGCCACTTCAGAAAAGCTGTGAGGACTGGTCTGATGTCAGTTGGCGAGAGAGATTTGTCATAACGTGGATTAATTGTGTTTTAGTTGAGGAGGAGATGATGAGGTAAGATGCTTCTTACTTGTAATGAATAAAATGTTGGAAACTTTGTACTGCTGCTGTGCTGGATTGTTTGAGTTTAGAATGTGTGCATATATTGCAAATCAGTGTTTTGTCTCCATTTTAAGTAATATATTTGGTTATGTTACCGTTGCACTGAAAATGGGGTCAGTAAATAGCCTTAAGCCTTGGTTGACTTTTTTTCTGCCATGTCATCCTTTCGTTGCACAGCAAGGCGAATAACTGTTCTTGCATTGATACTAATTGAATTATTGATACTAATTGAATTACTTAAAAGAAATTATAGAAACAAGGATCTAAATAACAATAATATCTTTGTAATGTTTCAATCTGCTGTGGTTGCATTCCTGTGTTTTTGAAAGCGACATTGTTGTTGCTGTCATTACATACTGGATAAGTAAAGCTATGTGATACATAATCAATATAATACGACATAATTGCTTGATCAGCAGCGCTGAGAAAAGCTGCTCTGAAAGCCTCTCCACTATAGCCAGTTTTCCTGAAAGTAATAACTCATCTTATAGCAATGTTGGGGACTAAACCAATATCCAACTGGCACAGCTTTAGAAAAGCTGTTATGCTGATGTACGCTACAGTCCTACACCCCAACACTGAACTTTATGAATACAGAAACTTGAGAACAAGGCAAGAAGGAGTTTCAAATTTATACGTGTGTGTATATATAAGTGTACGTCCTAAAACTTGACCTCATGATCAAGGATAGCGGTTACATTTTGTGAACATCTTGTGAATGTGATAGTTTGAGAACGTAGGATTTTGGAACTGATACCATCGGTGTATCGGCTTAAGGGTACCACTGGCTGCCACCAATTTTATTCTTTTAGTCAGTGAGCTAGAGGAAACATGTAGCGGCACTCTTCTGTATCATTCACCTGCTGCATTAAGAGGGACTCCAACTCCACCATCTTGGACTGCAGCTGGTAATGATAGCTAGAGAGCCACACTTAAGGGAATGTGGAGCAGGTGGAAAGTGGTTCACGTTCCATAACAACACAATCACCGAGGCAGCAATACAGATGGAGGGCTACCAGCTGCAGGCCAGGACAATGGAGTCGATGTCCATCTGTAAGAGAACTAATTTGAGAGGCGTTTTGTTATTTGTCAGGATTTTCTTAATTAAAATTCCTGCAGTGGAAGTCTGTGTGAATATTATATACTTGACAAATTCAATATTTAAACTGCATTTAGACGCATTTAGATATATATCTGTGTTAGTCCATTATTGGTCAGATACTGCTAATATACTGTCCAGCTTTTTTTCAACAGGCTTCTCTGAAGAAACTTACTGATAGAGATGCTTTTTCCTTCTCCAGTGTCCTCACTTATTTTCCAAATCTGTAACAGAACCGCAGAAAGTGGAAGTCCTTTTTAATTAAACCAATGAAATATAGCTATAATAATATGTTGCAGTGCTTTCCTTTGTTCTCCACCATTTGCACTTTCTAAACACAACTTATTAATTACAGGAAAATTATTCACAATCTTGTAGCCATTGCAGTAGACATGCCCCCCCTTTTATCTTCTGTATGCTTTTTTTAAATCTTGTTTTAATTTTTGTAACAACCATTAATTAATTGTAGATTAATTGTAGATTTTTTTTTTTTAAAGCAAAAAGAAATATCCTGGTTCTTCGTAGCAGGGGACAAATTTAGGCTGAGTGGGCCTTATAGGCCTCAGTCACACAGACCTGTAAACTGGGCCACTTGGGAAAAATGTATGGATTGCATTCAAAATAAAAGTTGTGCCTTACTACTAAAACCAGCATGTTTCTTCAAAAGGCACAGCCTTTAATTACTTCTCCAGAAATACAATAAACTTTAATAACGAAAAATCATTTGACCACTGAAGTTTAGTTTACTCTAAAGAGGACTTGAAAATCTAAATAAAACCTCAGATTAGATTGCCACCATTTCACAGACATTCAGACATTCATATTCAAGAAACTAGTCTCTACATCTAAATGAGTCGGGTAACTAGCTTTTTAGACTCGAGTTAACACCTTTAATAAAAAAAAAAAAAAAAAAAAATGAACATGCTTCTAACAGCATCCTTCTGTTGTAGCCCAGGCTCTGGAACGGATGATGAGTCCTACAGGTCCTAGCCCAAACCCAAATGTCCCATCTGAATACTGCAGCACAATCCCCCCTTTACAGCAGGCCCGTGCTGCTGGTACTCTAAACTCCCCACCACCTACTGTCATGGTGCCTGTGTCTGTTCTTAAACACCCAAGCAATGACGGTAAGGTTATTCTTACACAGTCTGCTTTACCTTTCACTTGTTTTCCTTAACTGTACCCCTGAAGACACTTCCTTTTTCTGTGTTATTAGGTTGTCCTCGTGAGCAAAAGCGCGTGTGGTTTGCTGATGGTATCTTACCCAATGGAGAGGTGGCAGACACCGCCAAGCTGTCTGTGATGAGCCGCAGGAGCTCCCAAGAGTTCAGTGGTGCCACCCCAGATGAGACAACAGTAATGCAATCATCCTCATAGCTCATCTATCAGGATTCCACCTTTTTAGAACTTTATAACCAGGGGTGACCATACAGTAAGTGGTCCGCAGGTGCGCATTCACTGTCAAAATAAAAGATGCGCACCAGACAAGAAGTTGCAACGCGCGTTTGCGTACATATAAAAGGCACTGTTTTTGTCCGCTAGAGTGGGATTTTCATTGCATATTCTGAACCACATCTCTGTGCGTCCATCATTTGTTTGAAGCCAGCTCACCACCTGCAACCACTTTTTCGAGAATACGTGCTTCTTTTGCGGTTTGGACTCCTTTGGACATTTCTTTGGAGATGGAGGAACACCAATGTAATTGCTTAAAGGAGCTTGCTTCTTCAACATCTTTAAGAGTTCTGAACAAATGTCTGTCCTCCTCCAGAAAATCCTATGTACCCAAACACACGTTGCAACTTCTTATCTGGTGCGCGTCTTTTATTTTGACTGTGAACCCGCACCTGCAGACCACTTACGTACACCCCGGTTTATAACTCAACAAATGGCTCAAATTACTGATCCCTTGTTTTGGTATAAATACATTGTAAATACCTACACTCATTTAATAGCCAGTATTAAAGTCAACATGCCCATCTGTCTTGAAAGTTCAGTCACTACTGACCAACTAGTCCCGGCTAACTTGGGTTTCTCATTCTGTGGTCCCACAGACTCCACTCCTATGGTGTTATTTTTGTGCCACTATTCTGAGTGCACGTAAAAAAAATTTGAGCACAAGTAAAAAAAACTTTGCAGGTGCAAGCGTTGTATTTTGAGGAGAAATTTATTTTGAGCGAAGAAAAGCTGAATTTGAGCGAACAAAATTCATTGCTGTGTGCAAAAAATGTATTTCAGTGTTTGCTATTATCCATACACACACACACACACACAATAGCAGCCCCTCTCGCTCAGTTTTTGTATTTGCGCTCGCTCGCAATTTTTTTTTTCTGCTCTTACTCTTGACGAAGGCGGTCGCACTTTTCTCCTCTCCTCCTCTCCCTTAGCTTCCCTGCTTAGCCTCTTATGTCCTAGTCTAGTCTCGTGGTTTTTTGTATTACTTTTCCCTGGAACACTCTCTCACAGTCTGTTCTCTAAAACCTAAAAGAGGAATTATGGATTTGATCAACTGGTCCCTGAATGCAATTGACACCCCTTTCTCAACGAGAAGTTTGGGCTTGGGTGAGCCTGAGTGCTGAAGATATTTACCTATACGGAACCATGGTAACAGGGTTCTTGCTGATCGGAGCTGGCTTGGTCCTGACTTATTGAAGAATTAAGAAAGCGGAACCGGCTGTTCAAACCCCCACAAGGCTGCCCACTGGGATTGAAACAATGGGAGAGGCGTGAGTTTCTCAAAATGGACTCATTGAGTGCAGCACGGATAAGATCTTGGAAAGGCTTACGGCTGCCGTGAATACTCAGAATAAGATCTCTGAGTGCAGACTGGATTACATCTTAGAACGGCTCGCTCGGAATAACATCTCTGAGCACAAATTGGATGACATCTTGGGGAGGCTCACTGTGGTCGTTAGTTCTCAGAATCGGCTCTTTGAGAACAAGAATGACAACATCACAGAGCGCAAGTTTGATAACATCATGGCAAAGCTCACGGTTCTCCAACAGGAGATTGAGAGACCAGTGTTGGACTGTTAGAACTGCTTTGAAATTCATATGAGCTGTTCGCACTAAAGTAAAAAGCACCATCACTTCATGCGGATACCCTTTCGTCACCAGCTGCGGTCGCAAGGCTGGAGCCGAACAAGAACACCCTGATAACGACTGTGTTTAGTCTGTTCCTTCCCATTCCATGCAAGGCCACCTGGGTTGGCTGGAAGACTGTTTACTTAGCCTAGCAGGGCGAAGGAAACTGTCTCAGCTGAACTCTGGACACGCACACACATACATACATATACACCGATATGCACACACTCATCCCCCCTCCCTTTCCAAACGCCTTCGATGTTGTGCTGTGGACATTTATGTGCTTTTTTGTTCTCATGCTGTCCTCCCAGGAGCCCAGCATGAATAGAGGTCTCTTTTTTTCCTCTTGTACTTTCCCATTGTAGTGTATATTTCAGTGTTTTTTTTTTTCTGTAACGCTACCGATCTCCGACCTGTATCCCCATGTGATGTCTGTGTTGTGTGTGTAAGGGGGGGGGTCCTATTTCACTGCAGGGCAACCTGCACGTGGCGAATAAAGCCTTGATTGATTTGATTGTTGCTCACGCTCTCAACATTTCTGCCCGTGCGCGTTCAACTCTTTGTGTACGCCGTTATATTTGTGCCACAAAACCAGCCAATCACAGACTTGGATGCAAAAATATCTGATTGGCTGTTCTGGTCTCCAATCAGCTCGAAATGATGAAATGCAATATCCCAGAATCCATTTCGTCCAAAACTCAAACGAGGCAGTGGCGGAAGAACACAGAGTGGCGGAGTTTGAAATCATCAAGACATCACATATTTCAATAATGCTCTAACGTTTTCGGAGATGCCTGTTACCCACCAGCTGACCGTGTAGCTGGACTGGCCATTGGGCATACCGGGCATTTGCCCGGTGGGCTGATGGTGTTTTTTCATTTTTATGTTTGTTTATTTTTGTAACGGTATAAACAATGAAAGGTGGTGGATTAGCCAATTGGTCATGATCAACTCTGGGCTGGCCCAATTACAATACATCCGTATTGAGAGGAAAAGGAATGCAATTAGTACCGTACTTCTATGGGCTCAAAATATGGTCATAAATATTTTGTACTTGTAAATCGGTTTTGTACTTGTAAATCAGGATTTGTGTGTGTGTGTGTGTGTGTGTGTGTGTGTGTAAAAAAAGATTTGTGCGTGCGTATAAAAGATTTGTGCGTGCGTAAAAAAAGATTTGTATGCGTAAAAAAGATTTGTGCGTGCATAAAAAAGATTTGTGCGTGCGTAAAAAAGATTTGTGCGTGCATAAAAAAGATTTGTGCGTGCGTAAAAAAGATTTGTGCGTGCGTAAAAAAGATTTGTGCGTGCGTAAAAAAGATTTGCGCGTGCGTAAAAAAGATTTGCGCGTGCGTAAAAAAGATTTGCGTGTGTGTAAAAAAGATTTGTGTGTGGACTTAGCCAAAAAAAACCCCCTGCAAGTTACAACTACGAATTTTGACCCTATTTTTCTTCCTTTCACATTGGTGAATGTCATGTCAATCACAAATGTAACAATCCAATCAGAGAACAGATGGGTTTGGCTGTCGGAGGGGCGCTTTTTTTTGAACTGCAGGTCTTTGAAGGGAATAAATGCCCTTTTACATGCCAACCCAGCGTTTTCCTTCATCACCACGAAGGACAACAGTCTGTGGTCGTCCGAGTTTGGTGATTTTTGTGTCACAGGACTACGTGTTTAATAGAGGGACTTCCACAGCCTTTTCAACAGCGCTGCGGACGCGGGGGGGGGGGGCGGCAGTGTTTTGGAAATGACAGTCTTCATTACAAAGCTTTCTTCGTTATGAATTAGCATACATGTTTTTATTGAACATTTGAAGAACTAGCAAAAAAAAAGCCACAAACTCTTGTAGTTCACATAAAGTCAGAGATAAAAACGACAAGGAACAGGTGCATCTAGTACAGGTAGAGCTGCTGCAAAAACCCACAGAGCCCAGCAGCCAGCGTAACAAATTCTGGATCCTTTGCTTTTAGTTAGCAATTAGCATTAACTAATCCTAAAGTAATAATGGTATTTCTAACCACTGACATACCACAACTTTATCCTTTCAACTGCTGCTGAAAGTAAGGGGACCTAACTGCTATCGGATATTTATATAGAGATTACTCTTCAAGGACCTGCAGTTCAAAAAAATGCCCCTCCGACGGCCAAACCCATCTGTTCTCTGATTGGATTGTTTAATTTGGTCAATGTCATGTCAATCACAATCAGCTTAAAGGAAGAAAAATAGGGTCAAAATTCGTACTTGTAACTTGCAGGGTTTTTTTTTTTTGGGCTAAGTCCACACACAAATCTTTTTTACGCACGCACAAATCTTTTTTACGCACGCACAAATCTTTTTTACGCACGCACAAATCTTTTTTACAAGTACAAAACCGATTTACAAGTACAAAATATTTATGACCACATTTTGAGCCCATAAACTTCAGCTAGAATGAAAAAAGACAAAGCTGGAGTTATTCTGTCTTTACGTTGCACAGCTGCCTCTTCTCCCATCATTCTCTTTCCCTCCCTCTCCTGTGGCTACTTCAATCATAAAACCGATCAATGATCAGCTGTCTCTCTTGTTTGTTTATCTCCCACTTTGCGCCAGAAACAGGAAACCAGCGGATGTTGTGCTAAACAACAACAGCACGTTCAAGCTTGATAAGCTGTTGTTAGAATTTATTTAAAATTAATTTCTAGTATCAGCTGATGTTTGCTGGAGCCACAGCTGTAAAACTGCTGGTCATGGTATCGGTTTGGAAACATGAAGGTGATACAAATCATACATGTATACCAACAAGACGGTGTACATCACTGTCACAACAGCGTTTGTTTTAGTTCAAAGGCTTTATGGTTTTTCCTATAATACCTGGTGGTGTAGTCGGCCGATTTTTTTGTCAGTTGAGCTTTACATATTATGTTTAACCCGAGTGACCACCCGGTCAGCTGGTGGGTAACAGGCATCTCCGAAAACGCTAGAGCATTATGGAAATATGTGATGTCTTGATGAATCGAGCAGGTATTTGAAGTTTACACAGCACCATTATCGCATGAAAATATCTTAAAAGTTTATTTCGTGACCCATAAAGAGAAATATTTCAAACTCCGCCACTCTGTGTTCCTCTGCCACTGCCTCGTTTGAGTTTTGAACTAAATGGATTCTGGGATATTGCATTTCGTCATTTCGAGCTGATTGGAGACCAAAACAGTCAATCAGATATTTTTGCATCCAAGTCTATGATTGGCTGGTTTTGTGGCACAAATATAACGGCGTACACAAAGAGTTGAACGCTCACGGGCAGAAATGTTGAGAATGCGAGCAACACGTTGAGAGCGCGAGCAACACGTTGAGAGCGCGAGCAACACGTTGAGAGCAGTGGATTTCAGTGTTCAGCAAACACTGAAATACATTTTTTGCACGCAGCAATGAATTTTGTTCGCTCAAATTCAGCTTTTCTTCGCTCAAAATAAATTTCTTCTCAAAATGCAACACTTGCACCTGCAAACTTTTTTTCACTTGCGCTCAAATTTTTTTTACATGCGCTCAGAATAGTGGCACAAAAATAACGGCATACACTCCCAGTGTATTGAACTGCAGCTAAGGTCGCTGGCCCTTCTACTCCATATATCCATGTCAATTATCAGGGCCAGAGGTCCTAGAAACTCTTTCATAAATTGAAAACAAGTGCTGCCAGCTGCTGTCCAACATGGACAAGTTGACGTTCATACACATGATGAGAAACTCTTGAGAAGCAGCTGATTTATGTGCTTCTTGGCAACCTGGCATTTTCTAGTACTGCTACACTAAAATAGACAATTAGATAGACAATAAATAGAAATAAAAAAAAAATGGACAATAAAAATTAGTCCATTGACGATGGTATTACATGAAATGACATTCTTATTTCAGCCTGGCTTACCTGGGGCAGAGACCGGAGTTAACAGTGCATCTTCCCCTGAGGCTGCTGTGGCAGCAGAGGTAGCTTGCCGCCCAGTGTCTGGACCCTGGGATTTCGCGTTGCTTTGTGGAATTGGTTCTTCAGTGAACAGGTTTCCCAGTCTGCTGCCAGACAATGAAGACGAGCTGCCTCCACTGCTCATTGCCACTGGAGAGGACGAAGGAGGAGGTGTGTTTTAGACATGAATCTCTTGGTTTATTTTTGCACATCTGGACATCTTATGTCTTTCTGTTGTGCTTGGATCAGAGTGAAATGTAAGTCTCACACTGGCTTTTATGCGAAATGCTTTAATAATCGCTCTGCTGTGTTTTCTGTTTAGATGTTTTAGTTGAGGAGAATCCTGCTCCATGTCAGATTCTGCACTTACTAGAAGAAGGCGGACCCCGTCCTCTGACATTCATTCTTAATGCCAACCTGCTAGTCAATGTCAAACTGGTGACATGTAAGTGAAATATGAATGAACAAATATGGAATTATGTAGTACACTAAAAAGTGTGAAATAACTCAAAACATGTTTTATGTTTTAGATTATTCAAAATAGTCATCCTTTGCTTTGATTACTGTTTTGCACAGTCATGGCATTCTCTCCATGAGCTTCATGAGGTAGTCACCTGAAATGGTTTTATGCAGTCTTGGAGTTCCCAGAGATGCTCAGCACTTGCTGGCCCTTTTCCCTTCACTCTGTGGTCCATCTCATCCCAAACCATCTCCATTGGGTTCAGATCAGGTGACTGTGGAGGCCAAATGAACCTGACAAGGCACACCTTTGAAGTGAAAACCATTTCAGGTGACTACATCATGAAGCTCATTGAGAGAAGACCAAGGATTGGCAGCGCTATCAACAAAGCAAAGTGTGGCTATTCTCAGGAATGTAAAATATAAAACATATTTAGAGTTATTTATCTTTTTTAAATTATTTTTTTTGCTACATAATTCCAGATATCTTCCGTCATATATTTGATGTCTTTAGTATGTATCTACAATGTAGCAAACAGTAGAAATAAAGAAAAAAACATTAAACAAGAATGTGTGTCCAAACTTTTGACTGGTAGTGTATCTCATATTTCCTCTTTCAAATTTTGTGAATCCTCACATGCCTTCCAATGTATTAACTCTTGTGTGTTTTATCTTCCAGACTCTGGCAGGGAATGCTGGTGTTTCGGCTCTAATGGGCTGCAGGCTCTGGGACAGAAAGAGTTAGTATTTCTGTTGGAGTGTTTGCCTCAAGAAAAAACTCTTCCCAAAGACCTCTTTACCATATATCTCAGCATTTTCCAGGATGCCCAAAAAGGTAATACCTGCCTTCAGCCTGCCTTTGCAACTTTTAATAACTACACCTTTAGCTTATAAAGGATAACATAATCATTATCTTGTGTTACAGGGAGGTTTGTGGAGGAGCTGGATAATGTGACTTTTACAAGTAGTTTCTTGGGCAGTAAGGATCATGCTGGGATGGTATTCTTCTCTCCCACCTGCCAGTCTCTAGACGGCCTCACTCTCCCTTCACAGCCATTCTTGTTTGGCCTGCTCATTCAGAAACTGGAGGTGCCCTGGGCCAAAGTCTTTCCACTGAGACTGCTTTTGCGTCTTGGAGCTGAATACAACTGTATGTAAATCTTTGTTGCTCATGACAACACTGAGTGTTATTTCATATTAAAACATAGTAATCTTAAACTTTGATTTGTTGAAAATGAAAAAAAAAACCTGCTCTTCTGAAACCTTATGGTTATTAGTTTATTATTATTATTGTTAAAATGATTAGTTTCAGCAGTTTGCTGAGTAAATAAAAATACCCCAGTTCCACCTTCTCATTTGTAAAGAGCTTATTTTACCAAAAGCAGTCACACTAACACATTTTATATCGTAAGGTAAACCCCTCTACAAGTTAAATTACTAAACCATTGTAAATTACTGTCTGTAAGCATATAGGCTGTTCTAGGAGAAAGACACAGGGACAAGTGATACATATTGTGCTTTTATGGTTTATTTACATATGTTTTTGTTTTTCAGCGTATCCCACCACACTGATAAGTATCCGTTTTCGGCAGTCAGTGTATCGAGAGACAGGACACACCATTATGAATTTATTGGCTGTAAGTAGTGCAAAATAAGATTTTGCAATAAAGAAAATAAGATTTATTTATGGTAAATGGTAAATGGCCTGTATTTATATAGCGCTTTACTAGTCCCTAAGGACCCCAAAGCGCTTTACATATCCAGTCATCCACCCATTCACGCACACATTCACACACTGGTGATGGCAAGCTACATTGTAGCCACAGCCACCCTGGGGCGCACTGACAGAGGCGAGGCTGCCGGACACTGGCGCCACCGGGCCCTCTGACCACCACCAGTAGGCAACGGGTGAAGTGTCTTGCCCAAGAACACAACAACCGAGACTGTCCAAGCCGGGGCTCGAACCGGCAACCTTCCGATTACAAGGCGAACTCCCAACTCTTGAGCCACGATCGCCCGTTATAATTGAGAAGCTTGGCAAAATTTTGTTAGAGCTAAAACTACACATAATTCTTAACTCCACTCAAGCCACATTTTAAGTAATGCAGATTTGCAGGTAATGCAGGAAATCATTCCTGCCTGTGGCCATCTCCCTGTACAACGCATCCACTTAACACACTGTTTGCTGCTACAACTACACATGTTTCTTTTCCAAATATTTATTTATAAGTGACTTATGTATGTATGTATGTATATATATGTATATATTGTACTATTCTTAGTTAGCGTATTGTCTGTCTTGTCTTAATGTTGGTTTAAAATGGAGCACTGTAACAAAAAATAATTTCCCCCAGGGATCAATAAAGTATTCTGATTCTGATTCTGATTTCATGGGTGTCTGGCAGAGTAGTTTTTGATTTTGATGATTGACAGTTTAAAATTAATTTGTTTTATACTGGGCTTTTGGTGAAAGGTTTTTGAACATAAATGTTATTAGGACAACAGTCATAGACACTTTTTTGATGCTGATTATTGGCAGACTTGAAAAAAATTGATTAGAACACTTTGATGAGTTCAGATTCTATAAACTGTTCTCATCCAGGATCTAAGGAACTACCAGTATAGCCTGTCAGTGGTGGAGGGCCTGAGGATCCACATGGAGATGGGCCACAGCTACATTGATATTCCCAAAAGTAGCTTCAGTGAGGTAAGAGTTCCTTTAATTTTGTAAAATAAACTTGTTCAGATTCTGGTTAGGATTTAGATAAACATTGATAATGCTTGAATATGTCATTTGTCACAGTTGCAACTAAAAAAAGAATAACTTCTCAGGTGTTTTAGTGCCCAAGCTTCATGTACTTGGTTTCAGTAGATGTTGACTTCTTTATTTACAAGTGCTTTGGGTTAATTTTTTGGTAATCAAACTACAAACAACCCCCAAAATTTCTGTAACTTCTAGAAACATATTGGTTTAGAAATTAGGTTTTTGTGGTCGTCCTCTAACTCCCTTCAAAGGATAACTGAAAAGGGTACAAAGTAGATTAAATCAGTTGAATGATCAGTACAATATGTTTTTCTTTACTTTCTTTCGTAAATTGTCCTGCCACATGTTGAGAAATTGTCTTGTACAAACAAGTCAAAGCTACTTAGTTTCATATAGTTGTATCGTGGTGTTTTAGGGCCATCATTGGCAAATAAAAATACGTTTTGGAGGCTGAATATAGAGGTAGCATTTAGAGAAAAAAAACCCTAATAAACCCTTGATAAATTATCTATTAAAGAATGTGTAGTAAGATCTGTCTTGAATGAACAACCAGAAAATGATTCCCTTGTCGTTTTAAAATTCTCTTTACAACATAAAACCGAAGTCCTCTTATGCGCCCCAGATAGACATATACCCAGTATAATAAATGCTCTTGGTCCTCTTTCAATGTTTGTAAAACCATCTGTCAGGAACTTGGGGATTATCCTTGATCCTGCTCTTACGTTAGATAGTCATGTTAAATCTCTTGTTTGGTCTTGCTTTTATCATTTAAGAAATATTTCTAAATTGAGCTCTATAATATCCTATACCGAACTGGAGATTGTTATTCATGCTTTTATCTCTTCACGACTGGACTATTGCAATTCCCTGTTTACTTGTCTAAACAAAGGTTCTTTGGAGCGTCTGCAGATCGTTCAGAATGCTGCAGCAAGACTTTTGACGAAAGCTTCTAAATATTCACATATAACACCGTTGCTTATGCAGTTACATTGGCTTCCTGTCGAATTTAGAGTCCATTTTAAGATTTTGGTTTTAACTTTTAAGGCTCTTCAACATCAAGCACCACCATATATTATTGAACTTTTACAGCCCTATGCCCTTAGTAGGTCTCTGAGGTCGAGTAGTCAGGGCCTACTTGTCATTCAGTATACGAGATTGAAAACTAGGGGTGATAGAGCTTTTGCTACTGTGGCCGCCAGACTGTGGAATTCCCTTCCTCAGGACTTACGATCCGCTGATTCATTGATTACTTTTAAAAAACAGCTAAAAACAAATCTTTTTAAAATTGCTTTTTGCTAACTTTGTTTGTATTTTGTCTTTTTAATCTGTTATATCTTGTTAAGCACTTTGTGATCTCTATCTAGAAATGTGCTATATAAATAAAATTGTACTTACTTACTTACTTAGGCCAAAATCAAACAATGTATGTATGTAAAAATAATAAGTAAATAAAGCAAAAGTTGGCACACAGCAGTGTTGTACAGAAATGTATATTTTTCTGTATTTTTCAGGTGCAGAAGGTGATAAATGCATCCAATGAACATGTCATCAGCATTGGAGCAAGATTCAGCTCGGAGGCCGACTCTCACCTGGTCTGTTACCAGAATGAGGAGGGAAATTACCAAACCCAGGCCAACAGCATGCCTGGGAAGTCTCGGACAGGTGAGTGTCTTTAGAAATGCTCCATACTCCTCTATTTTTGAAAAATAAAACATTAGAGGCAAGCATTTTGTTGTACCATGCATATATGAACTTCTGGGGGTTTGTGTTTTGTTACAGTCACTGGGGCCAGTTTTGTGGTGTTCAATGGAGCACTTAAAGCCTCCTCAGGTTTCATTGCGAAGTCCAGCATTGTAGAAGGTACTGTGACTGGTTGTTGGCTCTGAAATACTTATGTCCATTCTGTTATTGCTGGGCCAGACTAGTCAATTGTTTTGTTTTTACCAGATGGGTTGATGGTGCAAATCCCTCCAGAGACCATGGAATCTCTTCGCTCTGCCCTCAGGGAGCAGACAAACTTCCACATACCCTGTGGCAAGATTAATGATGAGCAGGTCAGAGAGAATGTGACTGTCCGCTGGGTGGAGTGGAATCCACCTGTCAACACAGGGTAACTGCACGCAATGATTTACTCCATGTGTGTATGTGTTTGCCAATGCCAGTATTTGATCATATTTTAACTAAAACACGATGCAGTTTAAATCTCTGGGAAAACAGTACTTTCTACTGTGACCCTGTGAATTTGTATTCCTGCAGCAAAACTAGTGGAGTTGATGGAAGATCCCTAGATGGAGTGTGTAGTGTGAGGATGCAACAAGACACTGAGTTTGAATCAGACAATCGGCTGATTACATGCACTGAGGTAAATTTTCCTTTTTTCACATCAAATTGTTTGCTCCTATGTGACACCTTCTGTGAACTGAATGAGGTTTCCATTCTGAGTTCTAAAGCCATCTAAAAGTTGTGATGTGTGCATGACCTGAACTGTATTTCTGTTCAGGTATTCTACCAGCTGAAGTCTCCAGACTGCAACCTGGCATCTGTCTTATCGTCCTGCAGTGTTTTTCAGAAGGAAATAGCGTTGGCAACCTGCAGTGCTCTCACTCCTCACCTCGCCGTTCTCACTTCCAGCGGAATCAACTCACTCTCACTGTGTGTCTCGACACAGGCTGACATGGTAAACAAGCAGTGATTCAGGTTAATATTGTAAAACCTTTTTAAGACGCAGAGTGGTCTTACAAGGTATTTGAAAATGCAGATGCAACAATAGTGATGTATTAATGATGACTGACTGTATTTAAAAATCACACACTAGTATCACCACTCTAATGGTCATTTTTGAATTCTCTTGGTCAGTTATGGTTACAGACTTTCTCACCACCTTCATATGCTTGTGTTTTGAGTTTAACCATATGTGTGTGTGTGTGTGTGTGTGTGTGTGTGTGTGTGTGTATTAGGGGTGCAACGATATTCGTATCGATATTGAACCGTTCAATACAGTGCTTTCGGTTCGGTACGCATATGTATTGAACAATACAAAATTTGTAATTTATTTTATCAACTTTCCTTCTGACAATGGTGTCTGTGTTGAGTGCTCAGTGAATCTGCGTTCGACTACTCCGCCTAGGCTGCACTGTCGAGCGCAGATCCACTGAGCGCTCAACGCAGAGAGCATCTTCAGAAGGAAGAGCGCAGGGCAAGCTAGCGAGAAATGGTAAATGGCCTGTATTTATATAGCGCTTTACTAGTCCCTAAGGACCCCAAAGCGCTTTACATATCCAGTCATCCACCCATTCACGCACACATTCACACACTGGTGATGGCAAGCTACATTGTAGCCACAGCCACCCTGGGGCGCACTGACAGAGGCGAGGCTGCCGGACACTGGCGCCACCGGGCCCTCTGACCACCACCAGAGAAAGAAGTTAAGCTCTGGTTGCAAGCTCTGGTTCTCTCCTCCTGCTACCCCCCCAAAAACCTATCTCCATAGAGACTGTGTCAGCTCCCAAACAGACAAAAAACTAACTAAAAACCAGCAACAAACAACTTAAACATAAACAATTACAAAGAAAGAACAATAAAGTATCCACATCTGAACCAAAGAGTAAAACAGTGAAATGTGGATTATTAAATATTAGGTCTCTCTCCTCCAAGTCTCTGTTAGTACATGACTTAATAATTGATCAACAAATTGATTTACTCTGCCTTACAGAAACCTGGTTGCAGCAGGATGATTATGTTAGTTTAAATGAATCAACACCCCCGAGTCATTCTAACTACCAGAAACCTCGAAGCACAGGCCGAGGGGGCGGTGTGGCAGCAATTTTTCACACCAGCCTGTTAATCAACGAAAGACCAAGACAGACTTTTAATTCATTTGAAAGCCTGATGCTTAACATTCTCCACCCCAGCTGTGAAACTCAGAAACCAGTCTTACTTGTTATCATCTATCGTCCACCTGGGCCTTACACAGAGTTTCTGTCTGATTTCTCAGACTTTATATCTAATTTAGTTCTGAGCTCAGATAAAATAATTATTGTGGGTGATTTTAACATCCATGTAGATGCTAAAAATGACAGCCTCAACATGGCATTTAATCTGTTATTAGACTCAATTGGCTTCTCTCAAAATGTAAAAGAACCCACCCACCACTTTAATCACACTCTAGATCTTGTTTTAACATATGGCATAGAAACTGAACATTTAACAGTGTTTCCTAAAAACCCTCTCCTGTCTGATCATTTCCTGATAACATTTACATTTACAATAATTGATTACACAGCGGTGGAGAGTAGACTTTATCAAAGTAGATGTCTTTCTGAAAGCGCTGTAACTAAGTTTAAGAATATAATCCACCCACTGTTATCATCTTCAATGCCCTGTACCAACACAGAGCAGAGCAGCTATCTGAACGCTACCCCAACAGAGGTCGATTATCTTGTTAATAATTTCACCTCCTCACTACGTACGACTCTGGATACTGTAGCTCCTGTGAAAACTAAGGTCTCTAATCAGAAGTACCTGACTCCGTGGTATAATTCTCAAACACGTAGCCTAAAGCAGATGACTCGTAATCTGGAGAGGAAATGGCGTGTCACAAATTTAGAGGATCATCATTTAGCCTGGAGAAAAAGTTTGCTGCTTTATAAGAAAGCCCTCCGCAAAGCCAGAACATCTTACTATTCATCACTGATTGAAGAAAATAAGAACAACCCCAGGTTTCTCTTCAGCACTGTAGCCAGGCTGACAAAAAGTCAGAGCTCTTTTGAGCCAACCATCCCTTTAACGTTAACTAGTAATGACTTCATGAACTTCTTCACAAATAAAATTTTTATCATTAGAGAAAAAATTACCAGTAATCATCCCACAGATGTAATATTATCTACAGCTACTCTTAGTACCATTGATGTTAAGTTAGACTCTTTTTCTCCAATTGATCTTTCTGAGTTAACTTCAATAATTACTTCCTCCAAACCTTCAACGTGTCTTTTAGACCCCATTCCTACAAAACTGCTCAAAGAAGTCCTGCCATTAATTAATTCTTCGATCTTAAATATGATCAACCTATCTCTAATAATCGGCTATGTACCACAGGCCTTCAAGCTGGCTGTAGTTAAACCTTTACTCAAAAAGCCATCTCTAGACCCAGCAGTCTTAGCTAATTATAGGCCAATCTCCAACCTTCCTTTCATATCAAAAATCCTTGAAAGAGTAGTTGTCAAACAGCTAACAGATCATCTGCAGAGGAATGGTTTATTTGAAGAGTTTCAGTCAGGTTTCAGAGCTCATCACAGCACAGAAACAGCTTTAGTGAAGGTTACAAATGATCTTCTTATGGCCTCTGACAGTGGACTCATCTCTGTGCTTGTCCTGCTAGACCTCAGTGCAGCGTTCGATACTGTCGACCATAATATCCTATTAGAGCGATTAGAACATGCTGTAGGTATTACAGGTACTGCACTGCAGTGGTTTGTATCATATCTATCTAATAGACTCCAATTTGTGCATGTAAATGGAGAGTCCTCTTCACACACTGAGGTTAATTATGGAGTTCCACAGGGTTCAGTGCTAGGACCAATTCTGTTTACATTATACATGCTTCCCTTAGGCAGCATCATTAGAAGACATAGCGTACATTTTCACTGTTATGCCGATGACACCCAGCTCTATCTGTCCATGAAGCCAGATAGCACACACCAATTAGTTAGACTGCAGGAATGTCTTAAAGACATAAAGACCTGGATGGCCGCTAACTTTCTGCTTCTTAATTCAGATAAAACTGAGGTTATTGTACTCGGCCCTGAAAATCTTAGAAATATGGTATCTAAGCAGATTCTTACTCTGGATGGCATTACCTTGGCCTCCAGTAACACTGTGAGGAACCTTGGAGTCATTTTTGACCAGGACATGTCCTTCAACGCACATATTAAACAAATATGTAAGACTGCTTTCTTCCATTTGCGCAACATCTCTAAAATTAGAAATATCCTGTCTCAGAGTGACGCTGAAAAACTAGTTCATGCATTTATTACTTCCAGGCTGGACTACTGTAACTCATTATTATCAGGATGTCCAAAAAACTCGCTGAAAAGCCTTCAACTAATCCAAAATGCTGCAGCAAGAGTACTGACAGGGACTAGAAAGAGAGAGCATATTTCTCCTGTTTTGGCTTCCCTTCATTGGCTTCCTGTTAAATCCAGAATTGAATTCAAAATCCTGCTCCTCACATACAAGGTCTTAAATAATCAGGCCCCATCTTATCTTAATGACCTTGTAGTACCATATCACCCTATTAGAGCACTTCGCTCTCGCTCTGCAGGCCTACTTGTTGTTCCTAGAGTATTTAAAAGTAGAATGGGAGGGAGAGCCTTCAGTTTTCAGGCCCCTCTTCTGTGGAACCAGCTTCCAGTTTGGATTCGGGAGACAGACACTATCTCTACTTTCAAGATTAGGCTTAAAACTTTCCTTTTTGCTAAAGCATATAGTTAGGGCTGGACCAGGTGATCCTGAATCCTCCCTTAGTTATGCTGCAATAGACTTAGGCTGCCGGGGATTCCCATGATGCATTGAGTTTTTCCTTTCCAGTCACCTTTCTCACTCACTATGTATTAATAGACCTCTCTGCATTGAATCATATCTGTTATTAACCTCTGTCTCTCTTCCACAGCATGTCTTTTATCCTGTCTTCCTTCTCTCACCCCAACCGGTCGCAGCAGATGGCCGCCCCTCCCTGAGCCTGGTTCTGCCGGAGGTTTCTTCCTGTTAAAAGGGAGTTTTTCCTTCCCACTGTCGCCAAAGTGCTTGCTCATAGGGGGTCATATGATTGTTGGGTTTTTCTCTGTATCTATGAAGCGCCTTGAGGCGACTTTTGTTGTGATTTGGCGCTATATAAATAAAATTGAATTGAATTGAATTCAACATGGCAAATTGAACCTCCCCCACCCTCATTCAGATCTGGCGTTTGGAATTATTTTGGTTTTCATGTGACATATGACCCTGAAGGTAAGCGCGTCATGGACTAAAGTAAAACAGTATGTTGGATGTGCCACGCAATGCTCAATTACATTGGTGGAACTAGTGTGTTAGCGCAGTTAGCTCGTTAACGTGTTGGCCGTCTAGCCCCATGCACGGGGCGATCAGGGGTAGCTCGTTAACGGAGATTTGCCGTGTTGCGGCGTTAAGGTCATTTCAACGAGATTAACCTGAAAGCACTAGTGGGAACACAACGAATATGACTGCACATTTACTCCGACAGCATCCTAGTGCAAAGACAAGTGGAAGCAGACAAAAACAACAAGCATGCAAGCATGCATGCTACAAACTTTACCCGAGTCATTTAGACAGTCGTTAGCACATGATTCTCCTTATGAGGACCTGATATGTTTAATATGCTGCTGAGAATATAGCCCAGAAGAAGCGTATAGTATAGCTTTCATTTTGGAAAGAGCCATTTCTCTGTAATAAACTCTTTTCCAAAGATGAGTGATTTCTCGATCAGATAGATTAATTTTTTTATTATTATTTCGTTGTTTCAGCAGCATTAAATTTAAAAACTGTACTTTTGAGATAAAATAGATATTTATAATTTTAATAAATGACAAATTAAAAAAGCATGAACATTTTTTTGTTTCGAAAAAAGTATCGAACCGAACCGTGCATTTTGTGTATCGTTGCACCCCTAATAGGTTTTGGGAAGTTTTTTGACCACAGTAATTGTGAAGTGAACATCTGGTATTGTGACAGCCCTATTTTATTGTGTTTAGCACTTAAAGCCTTTTGAATATTTCTTTACTGTTTTTTCTCAGGTGGAGTACCAGGCTGGCTCCAAAGGCAGTCTTCTCCCACAGCGCTACATGAATGAGATGGACAGCGCTCTAATCCCTGTCATCCATGGGGAGAGTGCAAGTGTGCCACAGACTGCCATGGACATGGAGTTCATGTTCTATATCACACATGCCATTGAATGTGCATGTAGACCATGACACACTCAAAGTTTTGGAGGCAAAAAAACAAAAACATAGCTGCAGCTTCAGGCAGGATGCTTGTTCCCAGCTGGAGCAGCAGCCACCCACACAGGAAGAAAAACATTTCCACCCTGAGGTTTGTGATTTAGAGGGATCAATGATTGGATGATGGTCTTCTGTTAAGAAGCCATTGTACTTTTGAGTGTTTCATGTTCACCAAAGCTGCTTTAATACAAGAAGCCAAACACTAAACAAGAAATATGACAACATGACCAAAAGCAACCAAACTATTCAAAGCGCTTTCCTCTGCTCTGCCTTCCAGACTCCCTGCTGGCCTCCGTCAGTGTGGAGTACCTCAGTGAATGTTTCCTACAGACACTATGGAAATGGCTCTCATTATTTTTACATTAAAAGTAGGGACATTAATGAGCGTAGACATGTGATCAGGTGCTACTATAGAGCTACTTGACATACATAGTTGACTTGTTCTAAATGCAGACATCACAGGGCTCACTTTCTCTCAAGGTACTATGCTCTCATTTGACATGATGGTTGTGATGATACTGCACAAGAAAACAATGGGCCTTCTGCAGGAAACCTTTTTGTAACTATGTCCTGGGGCTGGGCTGATGAATGATATTTGATTGAAATTCCAAGTTTGCCTTTTAATGATAATTTATAAAAACTAAACCAAACTTCATTACAGTGCACTGCTCTAAAGGACACCTATCCACGTGCCCAGAGTTTCTCCCGGTTTAACTCAACTCAAGCTAAGAAAAGTAGAGTGTTTGATCAACAAGGTCTATCTACAGGGAGGATTAACAATCGCCAATTGCTCAGGGTCTGTTTTTTTTTTTTTTTTTTTTTTTTCCCCTCAATTGAGTCTGCTTTCTGCAACAAGTAACAGTTGGATAGCAGAGGCTTCAGCTCTCTTCCACTCACAATGTAACTGCTATGCAGGTCTCTTGGTGCACACACATCCACTGCTGCTCCCTGCCCCGTTTGCAGCAACAATCTCCCAACCAGCATGGCATGGACCAGTGATGCTAATTTTAGCTTTATGTTAAAAACAACTCCCAATTATTTCCCAGCTGCCTACTAAAACACTCTGGTACTCTCACGACTCTCCCCTTTTTTCATTTATTTATTTGTTTTTCATTTAAATTATATTTGACATATAATTTATATGTTAAATTATATGGCAAATATAATTGACATATAATTGTTAACTGTTAACAATTATTGAGTTTTTACATAATGCTTAAGTGTGTTCATTTTGTGTGACAGAATCACTGGTTTAATTGACATCTAGACCTGTCATGCTTTGTTACTTGTTCTGCTTTATTTATTGTCAGTTAAGTGTTACACAACAACTAATCGTTGATGCACAACAACCTAACAAGCTGACAGTGAATAACGTGTACAAGTTACCAATCTTATATTCGCCAATAAAATGTCAGACTTTAAAGAAAAACGACAGCCATTATGACAAAAAATCCAATGAAGATGTATCCAAGTCAAAGAAACACATTCCAATGTGGATAAAAGCAGAGACTGTGCACTACATTAAACGACAGGTCTAGAATATACATGAATTTCATACGACAAAAGTGCAGGATGCAACTCATTCAGGGGAGGCAGCCTCACCAGTGTAAACGGTTAGCTCAACTGAGCTGCCCAGATGTTTGGCTAGCTCAGTGTCTAGATGACACTTCGTAATACTCTCAGCTGAAAGCATCTGAAAAACATTTCTCTGAGCCCTGATTGTACAACAGCAGCAATAATCAAGGATTTATTTATTCTGTCAATTATAATTCGTAATTATAAGGCCACACTTTCCTTACAGGCAATGAGAGTGATGGAAACAAACCTGTGGGAGTGAGTCTTTCCTGCATGAGGCCCAGTGTGTGTGTCAGTAACATGGCTGAAGTTTGCGTCTGGAACTTTACAAATGTTTTTTTTTATTCCTAAAAAGTGAACATATGACAGGTATATTTTGGCAGGATTAAGAGTGTTGACCTACTGACCTTGATGAAACTACAGAACTATTTGGATAATAGTATTACAACTGGTGGAGGTGAGGGGTTAAAATATTCTCTTGTAGTTGAATATGTCTTTCTTGGTGAGTAGCTGACGTTAAAGCTGCTCATTACTGAGCTTGCAGGTGTAGCTCTTCTCAGAGCTTTAGTTTCTGTTTCCATCATCCTGCTGGCACAAAATTGATCCAATAGTATGTTTGTCTTAAAATCTTTCCGTTATTATTTGATCATCCATCTTCACACTGAGGTTTCATTTCACACTGAGATCTTACAAAAGAAAAGATGATGTCAATCCTGACAGTTTTTATTTCTCAGAAGGAGGTGTAAATTTAACAAAGAGGATGCTATATTAATTGTACACACTCTGCTTCTGGATGAAAATGTCCAGTCAGGGGAGTTAAAACAAAAAAATCCCTCCTGTTTTTCACAGAGATGCTCTTTCAGTGTTGATGACTTCTTGCCAGATCAAACACAAAATACTAATGATTATTTTCTCCTTTAAGATGTTTTACGTTATCTGCTTCAGTCTCAGTTAAATGTTGTTTTTGCACAGCTAATGAGAACTCTTTCATTCAGTTCATCTCACAACTTTTACTAGTTATTTAAAAAAATGAAGATGATTCTTTCAGATGAGAAGATTGATTACACTATTATCAAGTCACGAACACAGATTGTATATAAGCAATGGAATTGGCCATAGTAATGTCACCAGTTATGTGGGACTGAAGGTGCCTGTTTTCATTGTGAGCATTGTAGTGTTTTTGAATTGGATGTGAAGCGTGATGGATGGATCAGACTGAAACTATTGCTATTCAGTCTGGTCGCCTCCTGTTGGCCATTTATAGAAATTCAGAGTTAAAGCTCTTCCACATTGGCTCCACTTTACAAGCCCAGAGGCTACCTCTATCTTTTATATAGTCTATGTTCACGAATTAGCTTAGCTTAGTTCAGTGTGATTGGTAGAAACGGGTGAAACTGTGTAGCCTGGCCTCATTCAGCCTTCAAGAACCATCAAAGCTTACAAATTATTCTGTATATTTTGTTTGATGTTTAGAAAGAAGGATGAAAACCACTGGAGTTAATTGAGTTAATTGGTGGTTGGTTTTTAGGCTGTTTACATGGATAGAGCAGCTAATTGTCTTTACCAGCTAACATCAGACTTAAGGGCTGCCATTGACTGACACATTCAGTGACAGGTAACAATAGCAGTGACACACTCAAGTATTGTCACCTTAATTCTGTGCTGACTATAAGATGCTGAAACAACTGGTTATTTTGTTCTAATGAAGACTTTGGTTTCTGTTGCAGAAAAGGCAGAACAATAACATTTTAATTATCAGCCAAATTATTATTTTTAAGTGTTGTTATTGGCCCAACTTTTCAGAGCTAATTCTCTATTGACCATTTCTTTTAAGATAAATAATTCCTATGCTTGGTCTCAATTTCGTTCATAATATTAGTTCACTTCATGTAGTACTAAAACTACTACTACATGCTGACTTGTCTAGTGTGTAAGTTTGGACTGATTAATTCTCAAATGGACATGTCACGTTCTGCTCTTAAATGAAATGACATTCTGAATGTTGGACTCAGGTTGTCCCGCGATTTACTGCATGTTCTAAACTTGTTCTGCCTTTTACCACCCATATGGACAATTTGCTGTCTGCTGCTGTTAGCTAGTAAGCTAGCAAAGCCACTATCATCAGTGCTGATGATTACAGCCTCCTGCTGGCTGAACCTTGTTTGGTGGTCCTTTTCTATCATTCAAGTAGCGAAGAACTGAGACACGACGGTGGTTTCCAGTCTAAATTCAAGTCTCATCTAGCAGCTTTGTGGCTTTAGTTTAAAATTAACACACAAATATAAGAGTGGTATCAATCTTCTCATCCAGGTTTTGTGCAGAAGGACAAAAAAAGCTAATTTCCTCAGTTTATTGATTGGAGTAGGAGCTGTTTTATACTGGGTTCATATTTTAGCATTATTTAATGTCTCTATAACAGCTTTAGGCACTTTATAAATATCAGTGTGCTGATGTGTTAGAAAAAAAAGGTTTGGTTTGACAGATGCCCGAAGGCAATCTGTCAAACCAAACCTTTTTTTTTTTTTTTTTTTGGTAATGATATTTCTGGATCCAAACTGGCAGTTATCTCTTATGAGTCGGAATAATAAATGCTCCTGAAACTCAGAGTACACAGAGGTTATGTCCCTGTAAAATGCATTCACTTTTGTGTCCACTGTTTGTAGCAGTGTTTTGCAGCCTCCATTTGTCTAAAGCTAGGTCTGAGTTTGTTTGTTTTGTTTTGTTTTTTAGGGCAAAGTGCATTGTGTCGCATCTCATCTCACTTTTCAGTTAGGACTTTTTTTCCAAATGTATAGATGATATCCTGTATACATAGAGATTGTATCAAACCTTGTGCATTTTTTAAATATTAAAAGTTATTTTTGAAATGTTGGTATAAAAGAAAAAAAAGTTAATATTTTTGATAGAAGGTTGGCTACATTAATTCTGCAGTTTGTGTAGCAAGCTGTTTGGGAGGAGAAACAAATCAAGAAATGAATTAATTGTTAGAAGGTGGAAATATCTAATCTCAAAATACATGAAGCGCTTTCGTTTGACATGAATGTTTTTGGTAAAAATCTGAATACTGAGCTTAGTTATGAACTCTTCTGCAAGTCGTGCTCTAATTCTTAGCAACAACTGCGTTATTATGAATACTCGTGTAAAGACTTGTAAACCTCCAGGTTGATTGCAGTCTTCTAGATGTATGAAGGTTTATACAGTTTTTTTTAATCACTGAAATCTGTGAGTTGTTGATTAACTTCTCCATGTGAGATATGTTTATTAAACACTAGAAAGGTCAACTGCCGTAACTGACTGTGTTGATATTTAGCCATGCATGCAATGACTGAATGTTAAATTGGGAGGCTTTCTAGCTTCAGTAGAAATCTCTCACCCTTTGGAGAGGCCGTGATCTATTGCCTGAAAACTGCATTTATGTACACCTAATCTGCAGATGATATTTTCTGCTAACATAAAAGGTTGTCCAAAGATTTAAATTGGCTATAAATCTGACCTGTAAAAAACCTATGCAAACGAAATGTGTTCAGTGGACTGAATAAGCTGAGTCTGAATCTGTATTTATATTGAATCTGTATTTAAGGTCCTTTACTAAACACCAACCACACTTTAATCAGGAGCTCACAAAGACTTACTATTTTCCACCTAAAGCCGCTTTTGTTCTTTATGGTGGATTATCTAAAGTTGTTATTATTACCATTACCACCATTATCATCATCATTATTATTGTTGTTGTTATTGAGTAGTTTGAAAAAGGAAAAATGTGAGTTTTGATTCTGATGTAGAAAGCGGGTATGAGGGGAAATTGTGCCGTTTATACTGCCGTGCAAACATCTCTGAAACGTACGGCAGTGGTTTATGTAAAACTTATTGATTTTTACAAAGTCCACCTTTTTTCCCCTCCATTACAAAATGGACATGTTCTCCTTCCACAGTCCAAAGCCTAATAGCTTTGGATTTTGGGACGAGAACATGTCCATTTTGAGAAATATTTTGGGAGGGATATTATTCAAATTTCTTTCTCTCTCGTTAAAACAACCTTCCACTGTGTGAAAATGAGAAGTATTGATTGATTTTATGTAAGTTTTTGTAAATCATCCATTTATTCATAAGACCAGCTTTACTTTTTGAGGACCCTGCGGTCTGCATCCTAACCAGTTTCTGAATAGCCTGTGTATTTAAAGAATAAAAGAATTTTATGAAAAAACAAAACTCAACCTGCCTGTTATCTTTCTGAAAGTTAAAAAAAAAATTATAATAAAATATTTAACTGGAGTTTCCACTTGCTTCACAGAGTCAGGCCCACAGACTCGCCACTGTTGTATGCTGCACAGCCAGGCCCTGATCATATGCTGGGGATGTATATATGTAAAAGTTTTCCAATGTACACTGCTGCATGTCTATACAAAGCTCTAAAATTCAAAGCCCCAATATTAAAGTGAACTCCAAAGTTAATGGGGATTTGGTGTAACTTAATTAGCAATGGTGTGATAAGTGAGCACTTGGAAGAGTTGCACTTATGGGCCTTACTGAACTGGCCCAAAAGCGAGGTGAAAGTGAATTAGTTTATCGGGTATTCACCCGACTCTCCCTATTAGTCATTCCATCCCTGCCCACAAATCTGTCAGGGGGAAAAACAATGACTTCTGTTTTAACTTCATTCAGTTGAGAACAAACAAGCAAGTATCAGCTGAAGAGATTCAGATATAACAGAGACCTTTAAGGCCTCAAAACAGAACCTTGAGGTACACCATAGGGAGAAGTGGAAGAGGAGCTTTACTTGGAAGCAGCCACAGAAAAGGGTCATTTAGATAAATAAAACCACCGCAAAAGCCAAACCCCTGTACACACAGTATCTCAGTCGATTGAGCACAATGTGATGGTCAACAAAATCTAAAGCATTTTAGCAAAACTCCCAAATTACACTTATAGATCACATAAAACTACACAGTATAAATGAGACAATACTGTCCGATGACATAACACATGCCAAATAACAACAATAAAAAAGGCAGACTTGGTTAATAGAATAGAAGCGCATTCAGTCTGCACTAGCCTTAAACTGGTGGGGTTTTTTGCACTTTTTCTTGAAGGTAGCTATAGAATAAAAGCATTTTATCTCTGTTACTTTTATTGCATTATAACATATTACATAATTATTACATAATTATACAAACTTAATTCTTTAATTAAGTTTGTATAATTTTTAATGATTATCATTAAAAACATGGCGTATTATCAAATTTTATTGATCCCTGGGGGAAATGTACAAGCTACCCAGCAGTGTATGAAGCAAATCAAAGTAGCAACATTAAAAGGATTACACTGGTAAATGGGCATGCCCTGTATAATTAAGTGACAGGATTATTTGGGGGTTGCTCATTGTGCAGTAATGTGAGCCTTTTTGAATGCCTCCCCTGTAATCAGGTTTCACAAGGTGACAAAATATAAACAGATCTTTAAGCTAAAAGATGAAAGTCCACCTATTTGTGTGAGTGTTTGGTGTGTGGGCAGATCTCTGTGTAGGGATGGGTCGGTGTGTGTGTGAGGGGGTGTGGCTTTTTTACTATTCTATCTCAATTTCCCCCAAGTGCTGTTCATTCACATAGGCTGCTTCCATTAAACACACAAGGTCACAGAGATGAGTGGACGAATAGGAGACCTGAGCCCAAAGCAGGCTGAGATTTTAGCCGAGGTAAGACATTTACAATTAACGTTATGCAGATATATATGTTCAGTTGAATGGTTTAATTGTTCTTATCTATCAAATTGTTGTATCTGTGGGCTTGAGGTAGTGTCATATGCAGTAACTCATTGACACTGGTCTTTGGTCTCATCAAAATTGGTTGATATTATGCTGTGAGTTTACTGGGGTGTATCTTTTTTTTTTCCACACAACGAAACACACCACTTTATGTTAATGTCTTGTCTTGTAACATAAATTTAGGGTGGTGGGTTAAGCCTAGAGGAAAGTTTAACTATTCTCTTTTTGAATAAATTGAAACTACAAATAAATTAAAAAATCATTTTGTAGCTTGAACTGATGAGGCCAAGTTAGTACTTTTTGGGCCATTAACAGTCTTTATTATAAGTTAGGTATCTCCTGGTTGTAGTTTCATATATTTGTATGACCAACATATATTTGATTGCCTGTGATTGCACACTGTTATGTACAGACATGAGAGTGGTATCAAACCTCTCTTACTTTGCAATAAAGCGACCAAGTCTAATTTTGCAAATGTAAAACTGTTCCTTAAATAATAAAATAACTTTGTCTTTTCTCTGGTTCTCTCACTTCCAGTTTCGGGAGAGGATTCAGGACATCCTTCCAAGCTTGCCTGCGCAGCATGATCACTACCTCCTGCGCTGGCTCAGAGGTGAGACTTGCATTTATGTACAATGCACACTGAAACCACCTGTTTATAGCAACAATCACCCAAGTCTAGAGTGACTAAAGACGAATGTAAAAAAAACAGAACCAGCTGGAAAAGATGAGTGACAATTAACAACAAAAAATCACGTGGAAAGGAGAGATCTTCGATTCAGTACACTAAATGTATGCCAGTCTCTCTTTTAAAGAGGCTGCCATATGTTTAATAAATCGGTTTTACTTTGACACATATTTCATATATGTTAGTGTTCTGTGTATTTACAAAATATTTCAATGAAAGTGCTTAAATATTGCCACTTACTGTTAATTTATTCTTCTGCCCTACTACAAGAATGACTTTGTCAATCCAATTACTTATCAGACTCCAACCCTGATATGAAGTGTGCATTCTCACTGTTCAGGTGTGTTGAGAAGCTGTAACTATCTTAAGATAAGAAAGATAAGATACTTAACGTTGAGTGAAACACAACAAACATATAACAAAATAAGTGGAAAGGTATGAGTGTCAATAAAAGTTAAAAACGAAACGTAAACCAAAGTAAATTGACTCAAATAAAATAAGGATGAAGTCGGATGCAAATATGAAATTATTTATTAAATAACAAAGTAAAATGTTTCAAAAATCAACAAAGGAAAAATCTGATTTCAAACGGCTTAATGAATATAAACAGCACATATCAGATGGCCCAGCGTAACAGAGGCCAGAGCATTGTGTTTGCATCTGTTCTCTGCTGTAACAGTGAGCGAAAAGATGATTCTCTGCTACCCAGACATGTTGTATTGTAAGGACTATTGGGTGACATATTAAAGATTTCCTGTATCAGTACTTGTGGCAGCTAACAGGCATAAAAGCTGTTAAAGACCCTCATATAGAGGCTAAACAACTAATAATGCTATAAATTAGAAGATTTCAGTAACAGGGGATATTTTTGCACAGAATGAAAGCTTGTGGTATACCACGAACTTTTCATGGCTGCCATTATACTCTACAAGTATACTGGCAGCCTTATAATGCCTGAGGCTACCTTCAGTCTCTGGTAAACTCTGATATTTAAAGCAGTTGAGTAGGAATAAACAAACAAACCTGTTCCGAACATGAAACTAAATCCAGTTTCAGTGCAAGAGTGTAGCCATACCAGAGATGGAGGGTTCAGTATCGACAGAATACTTCTTTCAAGGGACTGATCTCATAAATATAACCTATGCGTTCATGTTGATTATCTATTATTGCCTACAAATTTGAGTTTTTCTTTTCTTTTTTGGGGGGGAGGGAATACTGCATTATATTAAATTTCATGCCTCTAACACAAGAGGGGCAAAACCTTTTATGTAGTAAGTTTATTGTGTCATTTTACTAAACGATCTGAATCTGAAGTGCGTGGTATAAGGACTCCAGACTTTTAATAAGGTGGTTTTAAATCAGTCTTCTTGTTAATTTCCACTGCCAGTAAAATAAAAGTCATTGAGTAATGCATTAAACATGTGAGCTTAGAATGAGGGAGAAGGCCTCCCTTTCTCTGAATAGCATTGGAATTGCTTCTATCTGATGCTGTGTTTAAGGGTCCAGTGAGACCTAAAAAGAAATCAAACCTGACTGGAGATAAAGAAACATAGTATTTTCACATGGGCTTATACTTGGAAGGGAGTTTACCATCCATCCATCCATCCATCCATCTTCATCCGCTTTGTCCGGGGCCGGGTCGCGGGGGCAGCAGCCTAAGCAAAGAGGCCCAGACCTCCCTCTCCCCAGCCACCTCCTCCAGCTTATCTGGGGGAATACCAAGGCGTTCCCAGGCCAGCCGAGAGATATAATCTCTCCAGCGTGTCCTGGGTCTGCCCCGGGGCCTCCTCCCGGTGGGACATGCCTGGAACACCTCACCCAGGAGGCGCCCAGGGGGCATCCTTGTCAGATGCCCGAACCACCTCAGCTGGCTCCTTTCGATGTGGAGCAGCAGCTGCTCTACTCTGAGCCCCTCCCGGATGGCCGAACTTCTCACCCTATCTCTAAGGGAGAGGCCAGCCACCCTTCGGAGGGAGCTCATTTCTGCCGCTTGTATCCGCGATCTCGTTCTTTCGGTCACTACCCATAGCTCGTGGCCATAGGTGAGGGTAGGGACGTAGATCGACCGGTAAATTGAGAGCTTCGCTTTTACACTCAGCTCCCTCTTCACCACGACGGACCGGTGCAGCGTCCGCATTACTGCAGCTGCAGCCCCAATCCGTCTGTCGATCTCCGGCTCCCTTCTCCCATCACTCGCGAACAAGACCCCGAGATACTTGAACTCCTCCACTTGGGGCAGGAACTCATCCCCAACCCGGAGTGGGCACTCCACCCTTTTCCGGCTGAGAACCATGGCCTCAGATTTGGAGGTGCTGATCCTCATTCCCACTGCTTCACACTCGGCTGCGAACCGTTCCAGTGCGAGCTGGAGGCCCTCACCCGATGAAGCCAACAGAACCACATCATCTGCAAAAATCAGAGATGAGATTCTGAGGCCACCAAAGCGAAAGCCCTCCGCCACTTGGCTGCGCCTAGAAATCCTGTCCATAAAAATTATGAACAGAACCGGAGACAAAGGGCAGCCCTGGGGCAGCCCATCACCCACCGGGAACAAGTCCGACTTATTGCCGGCAATGCGAACCAAGCTCTTGCAACGGTTGTATAGGGATCGAATGGCCCGTAGCAATGGGCCAGACACCCCATATTCCCGCAACACCTCCCACAGGACACCCCGAGGGACACGGTCGAATGCCTTCTCCAAGTCCACAAAACACATGTAGACTGGTTGGGCAAACTCCCATGCACCCTCAAGTATCCTGGAGAGGATAAAGAGCTGGTCCAGTGTTCCGCGACCAGGACGAAAACCGCATTGTTCCTCCTGTATCCGAGGTTCGACTAACGGACGAACTCTCCTTTCCAGCACCCTGGCATAGACTTTCCCAGGGAGGCTGAGGAGTGTGATCCCCCTGTAGTTGGAACACACCCTCCGGTCCCCTTTCTTAAAGATGGGGACCACCACCCCGGTCTGCCAGTCCACAGGTACTGCCCCTGATCTCCACGCAACATTGCAGAGGCGTGTCAACCAGGACAGCCCTACAACGTCCAGAGCCTTCAGGAACTCGGGGCGGACCTCATCAACACCAGGGGCTCTGCCACCAAGGAGTTGTTTAACTGCCTCAGTGACCTCGCCCCCGGAAATTGGCGGGTCATTCCCCTCATCCCCAGACTCTGCTTCCTCCTCGGAAGACGTGTCAGTGGGATTAAGGAGGTCCTCGAAGTATTCCTTCCACCGCCTGACAATTTTCTCAGTCGACGTCAGCAGCGCTCCGCCAGCACTATACACAGTGCAGGTAGAGCACCGCTTTCCCCTCCTGAGACGTCTGACGGTTTGCCAGAATCTCTTTGAGGCAGTCCGAAAGTCTTTTTCCATGGCCTCTCCGAACTCCTCCCACACCCGAGTTTTTGCTTCAGCCACTGCCCGAGCCGCATTCCGCTTGGCCTGTCGATACCTGTCGGCTGCCTCCGGAGTCCCACAGGCTAACCAAGCCCGATAGGACTCCTTCTTCAGCCTAGTGGCTCCCTTCACCTCTGGTGTCCACCATTTGGTTCGGGGATTACCACCACGGCAGGCACCAACCACCTTGCGGCCGCAGCTCAATGCAGCAGCTTCGGCAATGGAGACGCTGAACATGGTCCATTCGGACTCAATGTCCCCAGCCTCCCTCGGAATGCTGTTGAAGCTCTGCCGGAGGTGTGCGTTGAAGATCTTGCGGACTGGGGCCTCTGCTAGACGTTCCCAGCACACCCTCACTACGCGTTTAGGTGCACCAGGTCTGTCCAGCGTCTTCCCCCGCCACCTGATCCAACTCACCAGGTGGTGATCAGTTGACAGCTCAGCCCCTCTCTTTACCCGAGTGTCCAGAACATATGGTCGCAGATCTGCTGATACGATTACAAAATCGATCATCGACCTACGGCCTAGAGCGTCCTGGTGCCACGTGCACTTATGGACATTCCTATGTTCGAACAGGGTGTTCGTTATGGCCAAACTGTGATTAGCACAGAAGTCCAATAACAGAGCACCGCTCGGGTTCAGATCAGGGAGGCCGTTCCTCCCAATCACGCCCCTCCAGGTCTTGCTGTCGTTACCCACGTGAGCATTGAAGTCTCCCAGCAGAACAACAGAGTCTCCAGGTGGAGCACCCTCCAGCACCCCCCCCCCCCCCCCCCCCCCCCCAGGGACTCTAAGAAGGCTGGGTACTCTGAACTGCCACTCGGCGCATAAGCGCAGATGACAGTCAGGACCCGTTCCCCGACCCTAAGGCGCAGGGAACAAACCCTCTCGTCCACCGGGAAAAACCCCAACGTACTGGCAGCAAGCCGAGGGGATATTAGGATACCCACCCCAGCCCGCCGCCTCTCACCAGGGGCAACTCCAGACAGAGACAGAGTCCAGCCCCTCTCCAGGAGACTGGTTCCAGAGCCCAAGCCATGTGTAGAGGTGAGCCCGACTATATCTAGCCGGTACCTCTCAACCTCACGCACTAACTCAGGCTCCTTCCCCACCAGAGAGGTGACATTCCATGTCCCTATTGCCAGTCTTGGCAGCCGGGGGTCAGTCCGCCAGGGCCTCCGCTCCTGGCCGCCACCCGGCACACAATGCACCCGACCCCTATGGCGCCTCCTGCGGGTGGTGGGCCTGCGGGCGGATGGGCCCATGTCTCCTCTTCGGGCTGTGCCCGGCCGGGCCCCATGGACTAAGGCCCGGCCACCAGACGCTCGCCCTCGGGCACCCTCTCCGGGCCTGGCTCCAGGGTGAGGCCCCGGTGACCCTATCCCGGGCAGGGTAAACTGTTCCCTCGGTGTCCTTTTCATAAGGGTCTTATGAATCGCTCTTTGTCTGGTCCCTCACCCAGGGCCAATTTGCCATGGGAGACCCTACCAGGGGGCAAAAGCCCCCAGACAACATAGCCCCTGGGATCCCT